ATAAACCAGAATTAAACCGGGACTGAACCAGGGCCAAACCAAGACTGAACCAGGGCTGAACCAGGCCTAAACCAGGACTAAACCAGGGCTTAACCAGGACTAAATCGGGACTGAATCTGGACTAAATCAGAACTAAACTAGGGCTGAACCAGGACTTATCTGGAACTGAACCAAGACTAAACGAGGGCTAAACCAGGACTAAACCAGGACTAAACCAGGGCTGAACGAGGATTGAACCAGGACTAAACTACACCTGAACCAGGGCTGAACCAGGACTAAACCATGACTAAACTAGGACTGAATGAGGATTAAACCAAGACTAAACCAGGACTAAACTGGGACTGAACCAGGGCTGAACAAGGGCTGAACCAGGACTAAACCGGGACTGAACCAGGAGTAAACCAGGACTAAACTAGGGCTGAACCAGGACTAAACCAAAACTAAACTAGGACTGAACCAGGACTAAACCGGGACTAAACCGGCACTAAGCTGGGACTGATCCAGGACTAAACCAGGACCTCCCCTGTGAGTTGTATTTCGTGGCTCTGTTCCATGGTGCTGTGTGTGACGTGAGCAGTAGGGGGAGCCGCAGCAGGCTAAAAATAGAAAAAGACTCAACCAGGACACCCCCACTTCCCTCCTCCGTCCCCCTCCCTCTATCTCCCTTCTGCCCCCACCCATCTACACACACACACACACACACACACACACACACACACACCTGATACCCTTCCCTCCTCCCTCTGTTTCTAAAAAAATCACCATCCACCCACCCTGCCCTCCCTCCCTCCCTCCCTCCCTCCCAGCAGAACCCCCTCTGCGTCCTACCACACCTTTACTCCACTTTGCACCCCATTTATCTCCTCCCCCTCCTCCTCCTCTTCCTCCTCCTGTGCATCCCATCATGCATCATTCTGCCCCCCTCCTCACCCTCACACACACACACACACACACACACACTCACCCCCCCTCTCTCATTGTGTTCTACCTCAATTTTTTTTTCCTGATTCAGCGTTCACTTCACATACAGCTATGTCCTGCTATTGTCCTCTTTTAATCCTCTTTTAGTCCTGGTTTAGTCCGGGTTCAGTCCTGCTTTAGTCCTAGTCCAGTGCTGGTTCAGTCCTGGGTTAGCCCTGGTTTATACCTGGTTTAGTCTTGGTTTAGTCCTGGTTAAGTCTTGGTTTAGTCTAGTTTAGTCCTAGTTTAGTTCGGGTTTAGTCCTGGTTTAGTTAGTCCTGGTTTATTCTTGGTTTAGTCCGGGTTAAGTCCTGGTTTAGTCCTGGTTCAGTCCTGGTTTAGTCCGGGTTCAGTCCTGGTTCAGTCCTGGGTTAGCCCTGGTTTGTACCTGGTTTAGTCCTGGTTTAGTCTTGGTTTAGTCCTGGTTTATTCTTGGTTTAGTCCTGGTTAAATCCTGGTTTAGTCCTAGTTTAGTTCTGGTTTAGTCCTGGTTTAGTTTTGGTTAAGTCCTGGTTTAGTCCTGGTTTAGTCTTGGTTAAGTTCTGGTTTAGTCCTGGTTTAGTCCTGGTTAAATCCTGGTTTAGTCCTGGTTTAGTTAGTCCTGGTTTAGTCTTGGTTTAGTCCTGGTTTAGTCTTGGTTAAGTTCTGGTTTAGTCCTGGTTTAGTCCTGGTTTAGTCCTGGTTCAGTCCTGGTTTAGTCCTTTTATCACGCATTCTTATATCGCCCAGGTCTGCACCTCCTCTCTCTTCCTCTCTCCTCCTTTTTTCCCCTGCCCCTCTCTTTCCCTCTTTATCAATTTCTCTCCTCTTTTCTCTCACCTTTGCTCCTCCTCTCTTTCCTCTCCTGCTCTCCCTCTCCCCTCTCTTCCTTTGTCCCCTCTCTCTCCTTTTATCTCTCTCCTTTTCTGATCTCTCTCTCCGCTCTCTCCTCACCCCCTGCAGAGAGAGAAAGGAGGAAGATTCCTTTGTCCTCTCTCTCCATCCCTCTCTCCTCCTTTCGTCTTCTGCCCTCTCCCTCTCTTTCATCTTTCCACCTATTTCTCCTTTTTCCTTCCACCTTTGCCCCTTCTCTTTTTCCTCTGTCCTCTTTTTCTGATCTCTCTCTCCGCTCTCTCCTCACCCCCTGCAGAGAGAGAGAGAGACTGGGAGGGAGGGATATTCCTTTCTCCACCCTCTCCATCCTCTCTCTCCTCCTTTCTTTCTCTGCCCTTCTCCCTGTCTTTCATTTCTCCACCTATTTCTCCTTTTTCCTTCCACCTTTGCCACCTTTCTCTTTTCTCTCTGTCCTCTTTCCTCTCTCTCTCCTTTTATGTCTCTACTTTTCTAATCTCTGTCTCCCCTCTTTCCTCACCCCATGCAGAGAGAGAGGGGAGGGAGGTTCCTTTGTCCTCTCTTTCTATCCCCTCTCTCCGTCTTTCTTCCTCTGCCCTTTTCTCTCTCTTTCATCTTTCCACCTATTTCTCCTTTTTCCTTCCACCTTTGCCCCCTTTCTCTCCTTTTATCTCTCCTTTTTTGATCACTCTCTCCTATCTCCTCTCCCCCTGCAGAGAGAAAAAGAGAAAAAGCGCGAGAGGAGGAGAGAGGGAGTTTCCTTCATCCTCTCTCTCCTCCCTCTCTCTCTCTGTCGGGGTTTGGGAGAGGAGCGGGAGCGAGGGAGAGAGGGGGAGGAGGGAGGAGGGAGGGGAGAGTCCTTGGACTAAAGTGTCTCTTCAGCAGCTGTGGAGGTGGCCGGGGTCAGAGCGGAGTCCGGGTCTCAGAGGAGGAACACACAAACACGTGGTGCTTTTGCATGTTCTGCTCGATCTCCTTTGTCCTTCACGTGTCCTTCGATTTTCACTCTGTTCCCAACACTTTTCAAAGGCTTTAGTCGCTGTGGGTTTAGCTGCGGTTTGAGAGCTCCGGGATGTTCTCTGAAAATGTGTCTGAAATGTGATAATGGCACACTGCAATTGCAAACCCAAGTATATCTGATTATTTTTATTTTATCATTATTATTATTCAGTGTTATTTGTCTGTAAACTGTCCTATCATGTCTTCTGTTTTGTCATTTGAATCTGTATCTCATGTTTTGAATGTTTTGGACCTATAATCTTGCATTTATAAATGTTTAAAATCTATGCATGCTTTAAAAAATCTAAACAAAACCAAAAAAAAAAAAGGATAATGAAATAGGGCTGAGTATCATTAAGAAGTTGCCAACACAATATATATATATATATTTTTTTTTGGTACAGTGCACTTTCGATTCAATACGATTTGATACGATATATTTCAAATCAGTTCGATATGGTTCAGTAAAAAACAAAGGCTAAATCATGACTGTGATACTAAAAGTCTATCAAGTCCAAGTTAATAAGAAAAATACCCATTTTATTCATCAAAACGGTGAAAATCTCAACACAATTGTAGCTCTGTAACCAAATAATTTAGTAAAATATACCTAAAAATACTGCCAATATATCGATACAGCAGCCCATGATATTGATACTATATCATCACATTATATTATATTTCGATATTTTTACACACCTCTACAATGCTTAGAACAACATTACAGGAACATAGATCTGAACTCAGTAAATTAAATTATATAAGATATGTTTTGTTTTTGTTTTTTTTCGATACAATGCATTTTCAATTCAATACAATATATTTCAAAATCGGTTCAATAAGGTTCAGTAAAAAATAAAGGCTAAATCATTTTCCTCATCAGAATGGTGAAAATGTCAAAACAATTGTAGTTCTGTAACAAAATTGTTTAGTAAAATATATCTAAAAATACTCTTGCCGATATATTGAGACAGCAGGCCATGATATCGATACTGTATCATCACATTAAACGATAAATCTTGCTAGTTTGAACTCACAGTCCAATGCGTAATAATGGTATTCAGAAGTAGTACATTACTTTTTGTGTTATAAACAATCACGTTGATTAAAACTTAAATAAACACAAACAAACACAAACAAACAAAATAGATGAATAGTATATCTGAAGCAGGAGTAGACAGCAGACAGGAGTAGACAGGAGTAGACAGGCGAAGTTAGAAGCTTCGTGCTGTGATACAAATCAGCTCCTGTCTGCGAGCCAGATTGGAGCTGTCCATGGTGCTGAACTCCACTCTTGTGTTTTTCTTCCATTTCTCTCTTATCTGTTTTACAAACTGTGACTTAATCCTGATCAATTTTTGCAAGAATTAAACACTGCAGATTTTATACTGGTTTAGTCCAAGTCCAGCCCGTGTTTGGTTCTAGTTTAGTCCTGGTTCAGTCCAAGTTTAGTCATTGTTAAATTCGGGTTTAGTCCTGGTTTTGTCCTCATCTAGTTTAGGATTGGATTAGTCTGAGTCCAGTCCCGACTTAGTCCTGGTTTAGTCCAAGTCCAGTCCCTGATTAGTTCTGTTTTAGTCCTGGTTCAGTTCTGGTTTAGTCCTGGTTCAGTTCTGGTTTAGTCCTGGTTCAGTTCTGGTTTAGTCCTGGTTCAGTTCTGGTTTAGTACTTGTTTAGTTCTGGTTTAGCTTGTGTTCAGTTCGAATTCAGTCCTTGTTTAGTTCTAGTTTAGTTCTGGTTTAGTCCTGGTTTAGTCTGAGTCCAGTCCTGGCTTTGTTCTGGTTTAGTTCTGGTTTAGTCCAAGTCCAGTCCTTGTTTAGTTCTGGTTTAGCCCTGGTTTAGTTCTGGTTTAGTCCTTGTTTAGTTCTGGTTTAGTTCTGGTTTAGTCTGAGTTCAGTCCATGTGTAGTTCTGTTTTAGTCCTGGTTTAGTCCTCATCTGGTTTAGTCCTGCTTCAGTCCTCGTTTAGTTCTGGTTTAGTCCTGATTTAGTCCTAGTCCAGTCCTCATTTAGTTCTGGTTTAGTCTGAGTTCAGCCTGAGTTCAGTCCTTGTTTAGTTCTAGTTTACTTGTAGGTTAATTCTGGTTTAATCCTGGTTTAGTCTGAGTCGATTCCTTGTGTAGCCCTGGTTTAGTCCTGGTTCAATGCTTGTTCAGTCCTGGCTCAGTCCTGGTCCTGCTCTGACCCTGTGTGTGTCTCTCTCTGTTGTAGCGCCCCCTACAGTGCGTATCGTGCACGCGGCTCCGGCCTGTGACGTGGACGAGGACCGTTTCACTGAGAGAGTCCACACCATCAGAGAGGGACAGACTCTGGAGCTGCTGTGTCTCGTGACAGGGCACCCGAGACCTCAGGTAACCTCTGACGCCTGACCCCATGACCCCCGCAACCCCAGCGACCCCAGGTACCCCCCACAGACTGTATAAAAACGTGAACTAAGGGAGTGCGACACCTCCCACAGCCCCATACTTAGTCCCTCTTTGGAATGCAGCGGCCCATGTCTAGAGATATGCACAGTCAGTGGTACTCCCCCAAACCCCACAGCTTGTGACCTCATGACCTTTGACCTCACGACCTCATATAAGTGCAGAGAAACATGGAGTGACTAAACTGTTCCTCCTCCAGAGTAAATACAAATAGAGGAAAGTGCCTCAAGTGTGAGATTTTAGCTCTCATTATAGCAAAATGGTGAGATAGAGAGAGAGAGAGAAGGAGAGAGCGAGGAGAGGAGAGAGAGAGAGCAAGATAGAGAGAGAGAGGGAGGGAGGAGAGGAGCGAAAGTGTGTGAAGATAATGAACCTTTTACAGAAGCCAGTTTTTTAATGAGCTGCAAAACTCTGTATCAACAAAACCTCAGGCAGCTCCAAGAGGTTAGTCCGGGTTTAGGACTCCTGGATCAGCACTAAACCAAGTTCAGGCTCATCCAGCTGACCCAGAGGTTGATGATCTGATTTCTTCTAAAACTGCATACAGGTTTTTGGGCAAGACACTTCTCTGTATGAGTGATTGGTGGAGCTCAGTCTGCGTCGCTGGTTTCTGTCATGTTTTAAACAGAGTGAGGACCTAAAATGCAGGACTGCGCTTGAAACATTTTTAATTAATATGGTGGATTTGATTGGCATCTGAAAAATGGAGGAACGAGGAGAGACATCAGGGCGGAGCAATCAATCAATACGACAGGAAAACTCAAAACACACACTTGGTTACCGAAATAACAAAAATAAAACCAGGTTTAGGATAAAAAGATAACTCAAGACAAATTAACCCATGACTGATTTAGTCCTGGTTTAGTTTGGTTTGGTTCTCTCTTTTGTGGCTGTCGCACACATTTAGAAAAGAGTTATTTATATTTTGTGGTGATGCAGATCCGGTGGACAAAGACGGCGGGTGGGGCTTCTGATCGTCATGGTGATGCTGCTCCACCCAACGACACTCTGAGGATTGAGTCCATCACCCGCCACCAGGGGGGGCGCTACTACTGCAAAGCTGAGAATGGACAGGGATCCCCGGCCATACGCTCCATCAGGGTCGACGTGTACTGTGAGTACTTATACTACTACTACTACTGCTAGTGTTTCTGCGGCTATTACTACTACAACTACTACTACTGTTACTACTACTGCAATTACTACTGCTACCACTACAGTTATTGCTACTGCTTTTGCTGCTACTACAATTCAAACTACTGCTACTTTTACTAGTAGTCCTATTACTGTTGCTACTGCTACTACTAGTACTACTGCTACTGCTACTACTACTACTACTGCTACTGCTACTACCACTACTACTGCTACTACTGTTACTGCTACTGCTACTAGAACTGCCACTACCCTATCTAACTCCAGTCAAACCCTAGTCTAACCCTGGACTGACCTCGGCCTAACCCTGGTCTCTTGGTCTAACCTGGTCTCTCTCTCTCTCTCTCTGTCCCAGATTTAGACCCCCCTGTGATCTCAGTGCACCAGAGCCTGGGTGAGACAGACCAGTTCTACTCGGACCGGACCGTGTTCCTGAGGTGTGAGGCCCGGTCCAACCCAAGTCCCGACTACACCTGGTTCAGAGGAAAGACTCCTCTGAGCGAAGGGACTGACCAGGGAGTGGACATCTACGAACCACTGTTTACTCAGGTACAGACTGGCAGAGTCCTGGTTTAGTCCTTGTTTAGTCCTGGTTTAATCCTGGTTTATTCTTAAGATAGTGTAGGTTTAGTCCTGGTTTAGTCCTAGTTTAGTTCGAGTTTAGTCCTGGATTAGTCCTGGGTTTGTCCTTGATTCGACCTGGTTTAGACCTGGTTTAGTCCTGGTTTACTCCTCGTATAATCCTGGTCTGGTCCTGGTTTAGTCCTGGTATGTAACTGGTCTTGTCTTGCTTTAGTCCTGCTGTAGTCCTAGTGTAACCGGTTTTGTCCTCAGGGGGGGACTAAGATCCTGAAGCTGAAGAACCTTCGTCCTGTGGACTTCTCTGAGTACAGCTGTGTGTCGTCTGTGAGAGGAGTGTGTGGGATCAGAGACAAGAGCGCCACCTTCAGGCTCACCAATACTACAGGTCAGACAATAGTACTGATATTTGTACTGACATCACACTGGGGGTGTTCTACATGTATGTTTATGGTGGGATATTCACCAGTTACCATGGAGACACAATGCCAAATCAGTTGCTACCTCGCTTGTAACTGTAATATTATTTGAGAAGGACTTGTTTAACAGCACACCAGCTGTAGTTACAACTTAGTCAGCTCTTTCTGGTCAGATTGTGTTCAAATAAAGCTCAGATTAAAGTTAATGTCATTAATGTTTTCTACGTTCTGTGTGGCTCCACAGCGCCCCCTGCTGTCCGCTTGCTACTGCCTGACCCTGTCATAGTAAACCCGGGCGAAAGTGTGACTCTGGGCTGCGTGCCATCGGCAGGTGACCCTCCCCCCGCCATAACCTGGGTGCGTGCCGGAGGGGCAGAGCTCCCCAAACACAGCTCGGCCAATCGCGGCGCTCTGACTGTCACCGCGGTAACTGTAGAGGATGGGGGCGTGTACACCTGCGTCGCCACAAACAACGTGGGCAGCCCAGCCAAAAAGAACACCACCATCCTAGTGCGAGGTGAGCCAGATGCCCTCCCTTCCTCTTATATCCCTCTGTGTCAGATGCCTTCCCATCCTCTTGTGTCCCTGTGTGTCAGATGGTTTGGGTTGAGGGTTAGATTCTCTCAAGTCTTAAAGGTTGCTGGTGAGATTTCTGTCTGTAGGTTGATGGTTCTATTCTCTCTCTCAGGTCTGCGCAGGGCCCGGTTCTGGATCACGCCGGACCCGTACCATAACGATGACCACATCCAGATCGGGCGCGAGGTGAAGATCACCTGTCAGGTAGAGGCCACGCCCCCTGAGGAGCTGACCTTTGATTGGCTGAAGAACGGACGACCTCTGCGCAGCTCGGAGCGGATGGTGATCACACACTCAGACTCGGCAGGTCTCGGGTCTGGACTCGGATCAGGACTTGGATCAGGTCTGGGATCAGGTCTGGGATCCGGACTAGCTCCGGGTCGGTCCAGCCTGGACATCATTGACCTGAAGTTCACAGACTTTGGGACCTACAGCTGTGTGGCGTCACTGAGGAACGGAGGAAGTCCAGAGATCAGTATTGACGTCAACATCTCCTCAACCACAGGTCAGAGCCATAGTCTGGACATATCTCTGGACATATCTATCCTCATACCTGCCGCATTACAAACAGGAAGTGAGCATGGGCACAATTTGGCTCCATCGACTCACTCAATACACTTTATATTGAAAAAGCATATCCATCTCTCTGTAATTGCTTCTGTCAGGCTTGATATTCTGACCTTAAAATGTTCTTATTAACTCACTCTACATGATCCTGGGTTTTTTATTTAACTATGTTGTTCCTAAATCAAGATATGAACATTAATAACAGACCAATCAGGAGCTTTCTTTCCTTGAGGTTGCTCCCCCTAGCTTTAGCAATAGGTTTGATTGACAGCGTTGCTAAGTGCAGTTACAGAGAGAGGGATCACGTTTTTTTCTATAGAAAGTGAATTGAAGTTGATGGAGCTGAATCACATCCATGCTTACTTCCTCACATGGATCTCATTTCTCTCTCTGTTGCAGTTCCTCCGGAGCTGACTGTGCCTAGGGGGCGCTCTGTGCTGGTAGTGCAGGAGGGCGACTCGGTGGACCTGCAGTGCCTGGTATCAGGGAAACCCAAACCCACCGTCCTGTGGTTCAAACTGGGCCCAAGAGCGGCTCAGAGGGTCCTGGAGAGGCTGGAGAACCAAGAGACCCAGGGACAGAGCCACGAGCAGCCCAGCCCTCTGCAGCAGGCCGAAGGGGAGCAGCGGGAATCGGACCAGCGACCTCCCCAAAGCCAGGACCCTCAGGGGGGTCAGGAGGGAGGGACACATGAGGGGACACGGGAGGGGACACAGAGGGGAAGAGGCAGACTTTCGGGGGAACAATTGGAGGACTTGAACCAGCCTCCAGAGCTATTAGGCGGGTCGGGGGTCCAGGTGGGGGTGGCAACAGACTCATACTCCTCGGCCCACAACCCTGAAGGGGGACAGGTGGACAGCGCCCCCCTGTGGGAGAGTGCAGACGGGTTGCTTCACCTGTCCAACGTGTCTCGGGACATGTCTGGAGTTTATCGCTGTCAAACGAGTCAGCTCAATGGCTTCAACGTGAGGCCCAGACAAGCACTCATCCTGCTGCACGTGCACTGTGAGTCAGATGCCCTCCCAGCCTCCTATCCCTGTGTAGTGGAACTAGTAGCAACAGTATCATCAGTACTTACTCCTCCCTTCTCTCTCCCTCCCTCTCTCTCTGTGCACTCCCTCCCCACCCCTCGTCTCTCAGATCCCCCTGTAGTGGAGCCTGTGTTTGCTGAGGTGCGGCAGGCATTGGGCAGGGCGTTTTCTCTCTCCTGTGGACTTCTGGGAGCCCATCCCTCCAGGGGCCTTCGCTTCGAGTGGAAGCTGGGCTCCAGGCTCCTGACGCGGGGAGAGCTGCTCCACGGACAAACCCAGTACCAGGTCCGAGCTCTGAACCGAGAAGGCTACGGACTGTACACCTGCGAGATCAGCAATGAAGCAGGGGCCGGCAGGTGCAGCTTCCATGTAACAGGTGAGATTACCAGAATACAACCCACAACCTCAGAGAGAGCAAGAATCTAAACCACAATCCCTTAAAGAATCTGTGTCTCTTACAGCTCTGAAAAGTTACTACAGTCACAATGACGTTACAATCTGAACGTGTGTTGCCAGAGCTTTAACCTCCAGACAGATAACACATAAAAGTTTTTCTCACTCTCAGTTTATGGACAGACCTCATGAGAAAGCTCAGAACCTCCAGAATTCCCTCACTGAGCTGCACAGGCTGAACTAGCACTGTCTCATCATTGTCTGCTGGTTCTGGGATTTAGGAAGTGACCATTCAGAACTGGATTTCATCTCTGAGCAACACAAATAAGAGACTCCTGTGAGTCTTATTCTTTTTTCTACTTTCTGATTGGACAATCGTACTAAACCATAACACTAAATTATAACATAAACAAATGGGGTGTCACGTCCAGTGTTTTTGTATTTGAAAATAAATCAGAATATAAGCAATTAGAATTGTTCTCAGTAAATGTTACTGTGTGTCTGGGGACACAGACAGGTCAAGTTTATGAAATGTAAAATAAAAATCTTACATATAGTTCCTTTGACCATGAAAGAACATGAATTTCTCTGTCAGCTATTTTGTCTCCTCTTGACAGTTACATATTTTAAAAACCTTTACGCATACTCTCAATAATAGGTTTAATGATGACTCCAAAAGTCCAGAGTCAAACTCAAAGTCCCGGTTTAGTCCCTTGTCCGGTCTCAGTCCATCAGTCAGCGGGTGTGCTGTGTTATCGCGTCGGCCATGTTGGATCCTCTTTTGTTATCGCGTCGGCCATGTTGGATCGTCTTGTGTTATCACGTCGGCCATGTTGGATCAGTAAGCGTGCTGCTGCTGACAGAGTGTGTTCTGTTAAACTTTATAATCCCTGTTTGAAAATCCCACGTTTGAAGGAGACCAGAATAATCCTCTAAAAGTGCCTCAAACGTCTCCTCTGTAAATTTGAGCAGCTCTGATGTGACAGGTGGAATTAGAATCATTTGGATTAGACCAGAACCGGAGCTGTGGTTTGAGTAGGACAGGGACGACCTGAGATGGAACTCACGGTTCTTTACCATGGCGGTATGGTGGCTGAGTGGCTAGCACTCATGCCACACAGCAAGAAGGTTCCGGGTTCAATCCCCAGGTCACCTGGGCCTGATTGGCATAGCAGTCATGCGTCTGTCAGTCTGCCCCAGGGCAGCTGTGACTACTACAGTAGCTTATCATCACCAGGTACAGAGTGAATGAATAATGCTGAATGTAATGTGAAAAGCCCTATATAAATAGGGACTTACTTACTTACCAGGAGCCGAATCTTTGGGATCTGTTCTGTTCCAAAAGATGTCTTATATTACAGCTGCTCTACATCACTTTTTCGATGGAGGGTCTGTCACCTGTTGGTGTCCTCACAGTGTTATTGCTTTACCTGGAATTATGGTTTATGCATAGACTGTATAAATAAACACAGTTAACCCAATAGCTGTTGGGTTTCAAACAGGAAGTGAGCTGTTTGAACGACTCATCTCCAGTTCACTTTCTATTGAAAAACTGTGCCCCCTCTCTCTGTAACTTCTGCTGTGAGCTTCATCATTTTGTTCTTAAAATGTTCAACTAAACCCTCTCTTCTTGATCCTGATGTTTTTATTTCACTATTTTGTCCCTAAATGAAGATATGAACATTCATAACAAACAAATCAGACGCTTTTCTTTCCCAAGGACACTTTAACACCAGGTTTGATTGACAGGGTGGCTAAGCACCTGCTTTATACTAAACCAGCAGTGCGGGTGAGAAGGGCCGTTACCTTCAACAACCTCTCTCCTGATTGGCTCTTTGGCAGCTATGATACTCACGGTCTGAGTTCCAAGTATGGAACTGGGCTCCAGACTATTTGCTATATCTGCTAGCCTCAGTGAGCTTCGTTTGGTTATGTGGGTGGGTTGCTATGGGTAACATTACACTCTCAGGAACACTTCTTGATACAGTGTCTGGTTTTATGCCAGACAATGACATAAAAATGAGGCACCCGTTCTTTGTTCTAATGGAGTGGGGAACATTAGCGCCGCAAAGGGTTGAATATTAAACACATCTATAATAATGACTCACAGATGACTCAAAAGGTGTTCATTGTGCAGTTTATTCATTTCAGCTTTTCAATGTATTTAATTTAGAAATGATTTACTGGACGTATCCTGCTTTTGGTTGTTTTTGTCAGAGGTAAAACGTGGCCCTCAGTATTAACATTTATCATAATATTTTCTGTAGCAATATATTGCACTTTGAATCAAGAAAAACTACTGATGTAGCCCACAGATGAGACTTTTAAAGTTTTAAAGGTTTAAAAAGGTTCCATGTTTTTGTGTTTTTAGGTAAAGCCTTTGCTCCAGAGTTTTATTACGACTCAGACTCGAGTCTGTGGCAGAACCGGCCCTCGGTCTATGGCTTCAGACTCCTCTGGACCCAACGAGAACCCGACTCTGTGGACCGGGTCCTGGCCTACAGACTGGGACTGAGACAGGTAAGGGCTGAACCAGGACTAGACCAGTACTAGACCAGAATTAAACCAGGACTAAACCAGAACTACATCAGGATTAGAGCAGGACTGAACCAGGACTAAACCAGGACTAAACCAGGAGCTGGACTACACTAAACCAAGACTAAACCACAAGTGAACCTCTGTCCTCTCGCTGACTCACTGCAGTTTTCTCTTTGTACATAAATAAATAAATATGTTTATTTTTCTGATGGAGATGAATGGTTGCCGTAGAGACACTGATGTAAAACGGCTGAGTCAGATCTACTCACTTGGAATCCAGAAATAGTCCTGATTTTGACCTGGTTTAGTCTTGGCGCAGTCTTAGTTCAGTTCTAGTTTAGTTCTGGTTCTGACCCAGTTTAGTCTTGGTTCAATCCTGGTTTGGTCCAGATTTAGTCCTGGTTCTGACCTGCTTTGGTCCACAGCTGTCCCAGACTCGATGGTGGGAGCAGGAGATCCCCATAGACTCAGTGATCCAGAAGGGGGCGCTGCTGAGCCATAACCTGACGGAACTGGTCAAACCTGAGTCTTACCTGGTCAGACTCACGCCTATAACGCGCTTTGGTGAGGGCGATGCCTCCGAACGCATCATCGCCTACACAGGTACGACCAATCACGGCGTGGTGCTCAGTTCACATAATTAAAATGTTTAACCTGACTGTGTGTGTCCCTCCCCAGCTCCTGTAAACCCACACCTCAGTGAGTACTTTCATTTTTACTGTTTTAATTTTTTAGCAACTTACATGGTAACTTTAGGCTTTAGGTTTAGTCCTGGTATAGTCCTGGTTAGTCCTGGTTCAGACCTGGTTTCTCTCTGTTCCAGGACAGTTCCGGTGTGGGTTTGAAGACCCCGCCCTGTGCCTCTGCTCTCAGGATCGCTCGGATCAGTTTGACTGGACAAGACACAGCGCTGCGTCACGTGACTCCAAGTACACGCCCAACACTGGCCCGAGTGCTGATCACCGCGGCGACAAGAGCGGGCACTATCTGTATATCGAGACGTCCCGTCCCCGCGTACCTGGAGACAAGGCCCGCCTCCTCACACCCACCTTTAACTCCGCCCCCAACTCACCTGTGCATGTAAACCCCGCCTCCAACTCTCCCGGCTCCGCCCCCAACAGCCCGGGCCCCACCTACTGCTTCTCCTTCTACTACCACATGTATGGCAAGCACATCGGTAAGAACCACAACCACACACAGACATCATCCAATGGGTTTGGACCGGGTTTAGTCCTGGTTTAGTCCTGGTTCACACGTGGTTCAGATCTGTTTTTCCTCTTATATGTTTCTAGACTCTCAAAGCATATTCAGATCTGTTTCAGACTTAGTTTGTCCTCATTCAGACATGGTTTTCCCCTTTTTCAGACCTAGTTTAGTCCTGGTTTGGACCTGGTTTAGTCCTGGTTTAGACTTGCTTCAGACCTGGTTTAATCCTGGTTTAGTCCTGTTTGAGACCTGGTTTAATCCTGGTTTAGTCCTTGTTCAGACATGGTTTAGTCTTGATTTGGGCCTGGTTCAGTCCTGTCTTCTCATATATACCTATAGGTTCTCTCAACGTGTTCCTGCGCCAGAAAGCCTCAGACTCTCAGGTTTGGAGTCTTAGTGGTAACCAAGGCGATCGCTGGAGACAGGCCCGAGTCAGCATCCAGCCAAGCTCTGCCTTCCAGGTGAGACCACGCCCACACAGCAACTAACTACACCCACAGAGTAATGAGCCACTCCCCCACCCTCCCATCATCAGCATCAGTATCAACACTGACCATATTTCACCATCCAGGGAAGTGGCACAGGCTTCTTTAAATGTTTTTACGAGTCAGCTCTGATCAGCTGCAGGTCCTGGAACTCTTCAACCTGACCTGGTCTGCTCCACCCATTTTCTTTTGTCTTTTAGTGTTTTTATCTCTGCTGGAATTAAGCTCTGGCCTTGAGAAAGTTATTATCTCTGTCTCACTGGTTCACCTATATGTCTCTCTCCGTCTGCCTCCCCATCTCTGTCTCTCTGTCTCTCTGTCTCTCTGTTTCTGTTTCTCTGTCTCTCTCTCTCTCCTGTAATTCTCTCTCAGATGGTGGTGGAGGGCGTGCGAGGTGCAGGAATAGAGGGTGACATCGCCATTGATGACATTTCAATAGAAGAAGGAGAGTGTAAAGACCCACCCCCCAAAAGTGAGCTTGGTCCTAGTTTAGTCCTGGTTTAGCCCTGGTTTAGGCCTAATACTTAAATGGAGAGAAAGGCTCTGATTTTAGGCTCAGCTAAATTCTAGTTTTGAGTTTTTAGAAAAATGTTTTCAGCAAAGAGTTTTCATATTTCAATGTCTTGTTTCTGTTGCAGATCTGAGATCCTTGGCCCCGCCCCCTCCGTTCCATATATGGACGCTGAGCCTGTCCCTAACTCTGGCTCTGATTGGTCGAGAGAGGTGACCCCAGTCCATCTCCGCCCACTTTTACTCGAACACCCAATCACATACAGCCCGCACCTAGACCCACCCCGTCGCACACAGAGCCAATCACAGCCTTGGATCTCTCTAAACCCCGCCCCCAAATCGACCAAAGAGAAAAAGTCCTGGCAGTGTCAGGTTTTAGTCACGCCTCCTCCACACCTCAGCTGTCAATCACCCACAGACACCTGTCACTGTCCAGTTTGTCCTTTTTTAGTTTCTCTCATGTTCTGTAGCTGTAGTCACACGTGTGTCTCATCTTAAATATGTTAATAGCAAAGTTTGACTCTGTCACAGAACAATGGCATTTGACCAGAATCCTCAAAGTTCTGTTTTACTGAAGTCTGACTTTACTCAGCTCTGCTCTGTTTCTAACTTTTAACAATTTAAATACACAATTTTCAGAGTAAAGTCTAACAGAGGTTCATGGTTCAGACAGAGCAGTGTTTTCAGTTAGCTTCACACCCTCAGGGAATGTTGATGACATCAGTTGAAAAGTATCTACTGTATATTCCAAGAGTCAGTTTTATACCACCACTGTCAAAAAAGAGGTTTGTCCAAAGAGTGGTTGTGAGTCTGGACATGCTCAGTTTGATAGACAATGACAAAACCCCGCCTGCTGTGGGTGTGTCCCTGTGATGATTGACAGCTGATTCTTCAAGGGGGCGTGGCAGAAACAGGACCCGCCTCTGAACTGGAACAAAACAAACTCTTAATGTTGTATTTTTGTAAATGCCCCCACAGGACACGCGCAGTACTGCAGTGTCACAGCACAAAGAGATTCCCTTTTAAAAGATTAAAAACACAAATGTTTACTGCCTATTTTTATATCATAGACTACAAGTATTTATAGAAAAATAAACCTTTATTGAAGATAGGTCTAATAACACGAGTAGATACTGGCCCTTTAGTTTGAACGAATGGTGCTATTTATTCAGTGTTTAAATGTTTCATTTTTATTTTACTTTAATTTACAAATATGAAAACACATCTGTTTAAATAGGTGGAGTTACACACCATAGTCAGCAATAGCAATTACAGATTTGATTTTTATCATTTCAAAGCTGCACTGTGTCACTTTTCTGTTGGAGGGTCTGCCACCTGCTTGTCTCCATGGAGATGCTATAGCTTTGCCTGGATTTTTTATAGTGTTGTGTGTATAAACACATTTCTTGCATATATTCAAGATTTAACTTCATAGAAACCGTAAAAATGGTATATTGTGCAAAAAAATTTTTTTTAGGCTTTCTACCATGTTATAACGTTCCCTCATCAAAAGCATGCCTGAAGAGGTTTTAGATGTCATCTATGCATGTTTGAGTAATCTAGCGATCTCTCCCAGGCCCTATTCAAACCTCATACGTTTAGCAAAATGACCCTGTCCAAGGCTCAGCCCACAAGCCTCAAACGTCATCCATGCTCCCACACGACAATTCTCCATTAAAAAACAAAAGCATGATAAAAAAAAAAACAGTTCACAGCATTAACGGGATGTACGTTGATTGTGTTGCGATAGTGCTCTGAATGGGGAGTGACTTAGTATCAGCAGAAAAGGAAACTTATATAACTTGTTTTGTGGTGAATATAGCATTTTATATAAATAATACAAGGTAAGGTTATGATTTAAATATGTTATGTGTTAGCAGTTAACCCCATAATATTATAATACCCAGTCTCTACCAAACAGTTGACCGCTTGAGTGAGTTGGCCCCTTCACAGATCTTACCTGTAACTTGACCTGGTAAGTTCACATATACTCATCTCCATAGAGATTCATAAGTTTAATGCCAAACAGTGGAACACTTCAGAGAAACAGTAACACCCCCTAGAGACCCTGAAAAGCAGAAAAGTTACAAAGTGCAGCTTTAAAGTTCAGGTTTGAGACTCACTGCCGACAACTGTAGAAATAAGTTAAATACCACTTTTACAAAAGGATTTTAAATGTATTAACATATTAGTAATTTTGTCTAGGGAGATTAAATGAGTAAAGTTTGGAGCGACAGGGTACATAAAAGTTTAAGACCGTGTTTTTGGTGGACCCTAGAGGCCAGAATGGGTACTACTGTTTTGTTCCAGTTCAACCGAAGCACATTAAATTTAACGAATGTCCCACCCCTCATATCTACAGTACTGTACAGACTCTTATTCTGAAAAGCTCTGAGGAGGAAGTGCCTTTATTCAGACTCGGACCGGACCCAAACCATGACTAGACCCAGGACTCGGACTAGAACCAGAACTAGGCCCAGGACTAGACCCGGTTTTGGTCCAAACAGACTTTTTATGCAGAAACTGTAGATCTCTGAAGACTCTGGAGACAAACTGAAGCCATCGAAACGAAAAAACTTTTTAAACTTTTCGATTTTAACAAAAAAAAAAAATGCAATCGAGGAAGGAGCCGGATTTTCATAATAAATCTCCTTCCTGTTGGACTCCAGGAAGTGTTTTCATTTCAAAATAAGAGATTTACCTGTCTCCTCTGTCCTCTCCTCGTCTCTTCTCCTTGTATCCTTTCCTTGTCTCATCCTTTCCTTCTGTGCTTCTTTCCTGTTTTATTTTGAAAACTTGTTGGGTTCTTAGTTTGAAAATCTTGATGTTAATTGGACAGTTTTGTGATTTAATATTTAATAATTTGAAGATCTGAAACTGTGATGAAACGGAAGCCATACAAATCTATTTAAATAAGTATGTTTGAGAATCTGATTTTGACTTTGCAGAGTTGGACAGACCTCCCCCTCCCCAGACGCCTCCTCCGGTGAAAACCCCCTGACCTGATTCTAGAATGTGATAATGGCATACCTTCAGATGGGGACAAAGTCAGATTACACTGTACATTACCATGAAATATCCAAAAGGTAAATTCACAAATGTTGAACCTAATCATTTCTATCTGTGACTAGACCCAAGAACTCACAGGATTACAACGAAAACCTGCATTTTAACAATATTCATTTTATCTGCCCCAGTCTGTATTAACTATGATTGGACTGTGTTCTGCATGTATTTCTGTGGCGGAATGTTTAGCAGTTACCATGGTGATACAATGCACCCATTAGCCAAAAAAAAGCTAGCCTGAAAATACAGTCTCTGCGTTTTGTGTCTGATCCGACTTTGCAAAGCCCCGCCCTCTCCCAGAATTAAATATCTTATTAAAAATGATGCATTTTTACTCAGATTTACTCCCAAATTCCTCCAAATTGTTTCATATCTCTAAGGCTGCGTTCACATTTACATACTGGTTTGAATCTGGTTTAGACCTGGTTTAATTCCTGATTTAGAGTTGGTTTAGTTCCTATTTTAGTCCCGGTTTAGACCTGGTTTAGACCTGGTTTAGTCCCTGGTTTAGTCCTTGATTTAGTGTTGGTTTAGTCCCTATTTTAGACCTGGTTTAGTCCCTGGTTAAGAACTTGTGTAGTGCCTATTTTGGTCCAGATTTAGACCTGTTTTAATCCCTGGTTTAGTCCTGGTTTAGTCCCTAGTTTAGTCTTGCTTTAGTCCTGGTTTAGTCCCTAGTTTAGTCCTGGTTTAGTTCTGGTTTAGTTTTGGTTTAGCCCTGGTTTAGTCCAGGTTTTAATGAGAGCAGGTGTGAACGCAGCTGAATTTTCTAATTTCTTTTCCTGTGGCACAAATGATAAAATCCTTTATAAATTCTAAATTGAATCTCGTTTTTTGAACCCTCTGTTCCTTCTGTTCTGTTTTGTTCTGTGTAGTTTCCGACTCTTAGAGAAATATAAACCACTTCAGATGTGACATAAACAGATATTTTTGTAATGAAATAGTTGGCGCTATATTCTGAGCCGCTCTGATCAAACTCACTGATTATGAATTATTACAGTTTAAATTTAAATCATATTCAAACGAAATAAAGATTTGAAAACATGAGTGGGTGTGTATGTGTGTGTGTGAGTTATGTTTGTGTGGGCACTGCACCACCTACTGGCCAAACGTGAACTGCATCATGTTTCTGCAGAATCTACATACTACCTGTGCAAAGTTTGGACACAGCCTCACATTGTTTTTATTTTCTTTTTCTTTGCTATTTTCTACATTTTACTTACATTCAGAAGACATCCAATATATTATTAAAAAAACTTCAACTCAACTAAATATTTTTAGATTTTACCTTCAAAGTGTCCACCTGCACCTTCTCTCAGTGAGCATCATGGTGAAGTCTCATGAAATGGTTTTTACTTCATAGCTTTACTGCATTAGGGTCAAGAAATGCTACAAGTGAAAACCCCCAGTGTTCAAAGCAAAGGGCACACACTATTAAATAAAAAACTAAAATGTTCAACAAGCTCTGAGTTATTTTGTTTTGAGTTATTTTGGTTTACTACATTCCTCATGTGTCATTCCTGGTTTTGATGTTTGTGAGAATCTACGGCGGAAATAATCGTGGAGATAGAGAGACATAAATGTAAAAGTGTAACTAGACTTTTCACTGGTCTTGTGTACACACTCTGTACACACCTGCACATAAGTCTGGTGTGGTGAGTGAGGGTCTGGTGTAGTGACTTAGGGTCTGCTCTGATGTGTCTCCTCTCCTGCACTGGTCAGATGGCCGTGATCCCTGAGGGTCAAAGTTCAGACTTGTGTGTCCTTCACTTAGCAGCTCTCTGAACAAACTGGACAGAGATGCATTTTTATATATCTTTTTATTTTTGCTTCAACATAAATCACATGAGTCACATGACCAGAAACACCACAAACATCACACAGAGGTCTTTCTCCGGAACATGGAGGGACTCTGGGAACTCTTTAAATACTGTTTAGGTACTGTTAGGTATTCTTTAAAGACCAAGATCAGGGCTTGATGTTTTCTGCTTTGCTGACTTTTCTCTAACTAATCAGAAACTACCGGTAATAATTTTGAAAGTTCTACATACATGTATTGTTAAATAACATAATGTAATATAATAAGCCTCTGTGGCCATCAGAAATACATTTAAATTACCATTGATTTTATATTCCAACAGTAAATACGGTCAGTGGCCTAAACATGAATACATTTTTCCAGGATTGTTTTTTACTGTCTTTATTTTTGAAAATGAAAAATTTCAGATTCTTGAGTTTGAAAGTTTTTGCATCAAACTGAACAGGTCCAAATGGAGATGAGACAAAAACTAAATTCACAGTTCTGAAGCAACATCCAGCCCCGATCAGTCGCTACTCTGTCTTTAAGGAGGAACTCTAGGTACTCTGTGTATGTGTAGGTACTTTTTATATCAGGTTTTCTTTATTCAGGTACCCTTCAGGAGGATATTCTCCCTGTGGGTGAGTATTTAGCTGTGTGGGACCCTGAGCAGCACAGACTGTTGTGGTCCCACTTGGACTTGGCTCAGGTCCAGGTCTACGTTCGGAGTCAGGCCTGTGGAGTTGGAACTGAGGACCACCCTGCCCCTGGTGGCTATAGCACCTCCTTCAGGCCCCTGCTGGGCCAGCAGCTGGGACAGGCTGAAGACCTCGTCTGGACTATAGTTAAACAGAGCCAGGAACTGAGGACTCTGGTCCCAAGACCTGAGGAAGGCCAGGACTGAGGACGAGTTATAGACCAGTGAGAAGTCCCCAAACAGCAGGGAGCGCTCTTTAGACCTGAGAGAGGAGAGAGAGGAGAGGAGGAGGGGGCAGGGGGAGGGACGGGGATCCTGAGAGGGGGGTGGGACAGAGAGGGAGAAGGGGGTCAGTCAGGATAATATGAGCTGATGATGAATATATATTTATTATCTCAGACAGACAGAGACAGAGGAGAGATAGTACCTGCTGTGTCTGGTTCTGGTCCTGGTCTGGGTCTTGGGTCACTTTGGGAAATGTTTCGCCCTGAAACAGAGACTCTGGTCATTACAGCATCTGACCACAGGGGGCAGCAGTGTCTAGTGCACACCAATCAGCTGTGTGCTCTGTGTGGGTATGTTAGTGTGTGTGTTGTTGCAGGAGAGTTCCTGAGTGTGCAAATGTGTCATCACTGGAGGATGTCTTTCTGATTGGTCAGAAATTTGCACTCAGGAGACAAACTGTTACTTAGAAAAATGGTTTCATTCAATGAGAAACACCCTTTTCATTTTAAGATATTTCCTGGAGGATTCTGTGTATTTTAAATCATAACTATAGCCAAATCTCGACTGAGTCTTCACAGACGCTGTTGAATTGGTGTTTGCCCAGAAAAGTAAACTAAAGCTTTTATTTTACATCCTGGAATATTTAAACAAACTCTTTATTTTTCTCCATGTTTTTGTAGTGTGAACGATGGAGCAGACACTCTCCAGTAAAATGAATAGGAGTTCATTGAACCAGAACTTTGTTCTAGTTCCGCTCAGTTCAGTCCTGGTTCAGTCCGGGTTCAGTCTTGCTTTAGTCTCACCTGTGTGGTTCTGATCCCAGTCTGGTCCCTGGTCTGGCCTTGATTCCGGTCTTGGATCAGGGCAGTCCCAGGGAGGGTCAGGAGTAGCATCAGGTCCATGGGGTCACAGTCTTGCTGCACAGCGCCCTTTGCTGGCTCCAGGCTCCACAGAAGCTGGTTAAGGCTGTGGGCGGAACTGAGCAGCTGCACGGCCTGAGCGCGCTCCATGGCGTCCGTCTGAGAGGACAGGACTGTGGACAGGAGCAGGTCCACCCCCGAGTCATTTAGGAGGGTACTCACCTCAGAGGGAGAGGAGAGGACGGTGGAGCCCAACAGGAGTCTGAGGGAGAGACACATGTATACCTCTTGTGTGGTTTTGGGTACGGTAGCAATAGTAGCAGTTGTAGCTCTAGTACTAGTACTAGTAGTATTACTGTATCTAAGTACCTCTTACGTGGTCTTGGGTCTGATATAATAATAGTTGTAGTAGTATTGTCAGTAGTAGAAGAAGTATGGCAGTACTCATACCTCTTGTGGGGTCTTGGGTCAGTCCAGTTCTGGACTATGGCTCTGATATCGCTCCACTGAGATGGGACCTGAGTAAAGACCAAGTCCACAGAGTCCAGCTTCACCCCATCCACCCCCAGACTCAACCAGAAGACCAAGGCAGACTGAAAAATACACAAGACATACATGTATATAAGTAAGAATATACAAGTATATCTAAAACCATAATCCCCACACCCAAACAGAAGACCAGGGCACACTGAAATATACAGCAATAAACAAGAACAGAACCCAGTTTGAGGATTATAAATCATCCAAGAGGTCATGATCAGAGTATCTGGACAGAGGTCAGAGGTCACACTGACCTTGAGGCGCTGAGCCACACTGCTCACACTGCTCTCACTGAACCAGGGACCAGAGGATCCAGAGTAATTAGGAGTCAGATCTAAGACCACCATCAGACCTGAGAGAAAGAGGTAAGGTTAAATATGAGAGAGAGGAAGGCCTCTGTGTGAGGACCTCTCTGTGTGAGTACCTCTCTGTTTGAGTACCTCTCTCTTTGAGTACCTCGCTGTGTGAGGACCTCTCTTTGTGAGTATCTCTCTGTGTGGAGTACCTTTCTGTTTGAGTACCTCGCTGTGTGAGGACCTCTCTGTCTGAGTACCTCTCTGTGTGAGTACCTCTCTGGGTGAGTACCTGTCTGTGTGAGTACCTCTCTGTGTGAGTACCTCTCTGAGTGAGGACCTCTGTGTGTGAGTACCTCTCTGTGTGAGTATCTCTCTGTGTGAGTACCTCTCTGTCTGAGTACCTCTCTGTGTGAGTACCTCTCTGGGTGAGTACCTGTCTGTGTGAGTACCTCTCTGTGTGAGTACCTCTCTGAGTGAGGACCTCTGTGTGTGAGTACCTCTCTGTGTGAGTATCTCTCTGTGTGAGTACCTCTCTGTGTGAGGACCTCTCTGGGTGAGTACCTGTCTGTGTTAGTACTACTCTGTGTGAGTACCTCTCTGAGTGAATACCTCTCTGTGTGAGGACCTCTCTGTGTGAATACCTCTCTGTGTGAGGACCTCTCTGTGTGAGGACCTCTCTGGGTGAGTACCTGTCTGTGTTAGTACTACTCTGTGTGAATACCTCTGTGTGTGAGTACCTCTCTGTGTGAGGACCTCTCTGTGTGAATACCTCTCTGTGTGAGGACCTCTCTGTGTGAGTACCTCTGTGTGTGAGTACCTCTGTGTGTGAGTACCTCTCTGTGTGAGTACCTTTCTTGTGAGCAGAGTGCAGGAGGCTCTTCATCTGGTCCAGACTTCCTGCGTCGGTAGAGACCTGTTGGAAGCTCAGGTTTGTGGGATCGTCTTTAGGAGCCTCATGAACTGGACCCAAGACTAGACCCCGGACTGTCATCTGGACCAGAGAGTCCAGCTGCTGCTCCACCCCTGCACACAGATTACATCAGATGTCCTCCCACTTCAGAACATGTTTGTGGTCTAAACTACAGGGTGACAGACATGACAGGGTCATGGAGACAAAGGGAGGGCATCTGACATACAGAGATATTTCAGAACATGTTTGCAGATCTTGGATGTTGTTGGTTGGACCCATAGCGTGTGTTGACCTTCACAGTCTGTGGTTGGACCTTCACAGTCTTTGGTAGGACCTCTCTCACCTTTGATGTCTCCAGTCTCACTGAAGTCCTTGAGGCTCCTGATGTGGAACAGAGGACCTTCACTCCACCATCTGAGAGCAGGAAGTTCTTTACAGGGAGGAGCCTTCAGTATCAGGAGGACTGCACCGGCGAGCATCCCCAACCAGCCCAGCCAGAAGAGAACCAGGAGAGCCCAACGAGTCCTGACCCATCTGAAACAATACAACCACAACATGAACTAACACCTGCAAGACCAACCAGATCAGAACCAGGAGAGCCCAATGAGTAATCGCTTTTCTAGTGATACTGGTACTGGATATCGGTACAGATTCTGAATATTTTGATAGATCAGCTATTGGTTCCAAGATATCAGTTCGATATAACATTTTAGTCTATAAATTGGTGTGATAAAACGCTTTACTGTCCAATGCTGGTTCAAAACGTCTCATAATATTACATTTGTATTTTCTCAAAGCTGCTCTGTGATTTCTTTAAATTATAAATAACAGTGATAAAATGCATCTTAATAATTGTTCATCAAACACTGTTTATGTTTAAAGGAAATGAATTATATTTTCTGTTTCTGCCCTAATGCGTCTTAACAGGCATTTGATATTTGGAGACGTGTTGGACCAAAATTCTGCTCCGGTTTGAAAGGGAAACCTGACACTGTCTGTTTTAAATACCGCTCATGAAGTGGAGTTTAGTTTGTCTAAAGTTCAAACTTTTCTGCAGAAAAAGACAAAAACACGTCTGGACACTGGACAGAAGTGCTGACCGCGTCCTGTGGTCTCTGTGGTCACCCTTTTCTCTTCCTCTTTTTAACCTCAAACCTTCATCATTATCACCTTTGCTTCTGCTGAGTCTGCAAAATCCTGGCACGCAGCTGTTTGTTACACTCGGCCTAATCATACTTGTGTAGCCTATTAATAAAGATAGCTCTAATAGGCCCAAAGCTGTTACTGTTACATTAAGGGGAAGGTTCCTCCCTTCTGCTCAGTGTCAGTAATATAGGCCTAAGGTGGTAGGCAAAATAAATTATTCTGAATACGTTTTCTTTTTTAATATTATTATTAGCCAATTTAAATAAATAAATAAATAAATAAATGAATAAATAAATGTTGCTTTCTGATGGACCGCGGCGAGCGCCACCTTGTGTTGGGCCTTATTATTATTATTATCTCAGAACAAAAGGGACAAAAGAGATTAAATTATAAATGTGTGGAATACATTACACTAGAAACAGCACCAGAGCTCTGTTCCCCGTGAGACTGTAATGAGTAATGAGTTTGCAAAAATCAGATTAAAGTGCACACGCTGTTCCAGATGAACACAACATCTATGGTCCAAAGATGGGGGCAGTTCAAATGAGTCTTGTTCCAATGCAGGTTTTTGTTGTAATACAGAGAGTTCTTTAGTCATGTCACTTGGGTTTAGCAATGATCAGGTTCATCTTTTGAATATTTCATGGTAAAGTGTAGTGTAATCAATAATCAATAGGAAATCAGTCTCTATTACATCATCACATACTACAGTCTGTTACCGTTACCGTTTGCTCGTATGTTTGTCCGTTAATGTCTACCACAGCTCCGGTGAAATAAACACGTAGCCTACGGATGTTCTAAATAAATGTCGGATAAAAGCGCGTGTCTCACCCCGGAGTGCCCGCCACGCGCATCAGCTGCTCTTTGTTCAGTCCGGTGAAGTGCTCCGGCTCCGGTTCGTCCTCCGGGATCTTCAACTTCACGGCCCCGTTGCTCTCGGTCCCCTCTGCGGCTGCGTCTCCCGGAGTGTCCCGCTGCTCCCCCGCGGTCATCGGCATCTGCTCCTCCGGCTCCTCCAGGTCCGCCTCGCTCACATCGGCCTCCGTGGCGTCGGTGTCCGCAGGGGCAGCGTCCGGAGCTCCAGCTGGAGAAGGAGCGTCTTTCTGGGCTTCCTTCAGCTCCAGCTCGGCCTCTTCTTTACTCATCCTCACAGGGGGCGATGGATCAAGGGTTTACCGGGAAAAGGACGTTTTTCTTATCGGGAAACAGAGAAGCGGAGGGTCGTGGATGCTCGGTGGATGCTCGGTGGATGCTCGGTGGATGCTCGGTGGATGCTCGGTGGATGCTCGGTGGATGCTCGGGATACGGGAGCGGTCTGCGGATGCTGCGGAGCTTGAAGCGTGTCAGTGCGTTCCGAGCGCGTTCCGAGCGCGTTCTGTCCGCGTCTGTCATGAGGAGAAAAGGAGCGAAATACTGCCCCCTGCAGGCCCGTGCATGTAACTGTAGTTTACAGTGTGAGACCGTGGACCGATAATAAGAGTACAATAGTAGACCTATATAATTTATTATAAGAATATAAGACATAAGGAGTGATTATACCAGGGGTTTGCCAATTTTTTGACTCGTGGGCCACAAAAGGTTCTAAAATTTGACGGAAGGGCCAGACCAGGAGCAGATGGAAGGAAATTGTTTGGTAATCCACCTCATAAGAGAAAAAAATAACATGGGATATGTAGAAAACATCCCATGTTACTAAAATATCCCATAATTGAATATCATTACTGCTGAAATCCCAGGCTGAAACTCTATGGCCTGAATCCCATTACCTCCCAGATAGTCTTTACATTATGACATTTACCTAGTCTAGCTGGACTTGCTCGTTGGTAGAGATGAAATTCATGGAACACTCAATAAAGGATCCAAAAAAAAAAAAAAAAAAAGCAGTTTGTCTTATTTTTCGGCTTTTTATTCAGGTTTTACTGTGTCATTCTGTACTGCTGATATCGCCGTATCGCTGTGCCAAGCTCATTGACTCAAAGTTAGGAGGCTTGAGTAAGTGTATCCAAACTCTAGTTTAGCCACCTTGGTCAATACACAGATAGATATCAGTTTCCAGTTACTCGATGACTAAAATTTTACTCAAAAGCTCAAATACAAAATAATTAGGACCAACCACTCTGCTAGTACCTTGGGAGTATTACCCTGTGACTAGGTCTGCTTCTGAGAGCTGCCTAGTTCAATGTAGGACCTGCTTGCTAGCTGAGGATACACTATTGAGGTCAATGCCAGAACCAATGCAAGATCCAAATTAGGGCTGGGCGATATGGATCAAAAAATATATCTCGATATACGATATATATCTCGATATCTGTACAGGAAAAAATAACCCCCTAAAACGGAAAACTGCAAAAACAAATATGCCAAATTCCACAAGGTCCTTTTTTAAAAAAAATTAAAGTGTAAGAGGTCGGCAGTTCATATAGGAACATTTAAGATTACAAAAAATCCTAATTACATAAATATTAATTTAACTGTTAAATAAAAGAAATAAAACATATTTCCTTTTTTTCATTCATAAATAAAACAACTCAACACAAGCTCATCTTTGCATTAACTCTGTTATCCAAACCATAACCATGAACTCTTTTAACAGAAGAAGCTCAGGATGTTCCTTATTTCAATAGATTCATGTTCCTATCCAGCAGTAAGGAGCTCTGAGGTTTCCCACAAACCACTGCAGATCAAACCCAACGTTTCCAAACACTTTTGTACAAGTTACACTGCAACAGATTATTAATTAAAATCTTCTGCATAAATAGAATTTACATTACTAAACTTTACAAGATATATAGCATAACGACTCTAGAGCCACATCAGCCCGTTTGAGATTATAGTGTAAATTTTTTTTTTTTTTTTTTTTTTTTTTTTTTTTTTTTGCGCAGACTTGTTTACGTTTTACAGAAACGAAACTTAAAAAGCGCATGGCTCATTTGCATAAACAGCGCACTCCACGTGCCGCTCATGCGGTTCAACTTCTTTTGGACTAAAGGACACGACTCTCGTGGAATATGAAATGTGCTGCTGATGGCCTTGGCTGTAAATGGTGGAAAAGTTTCGTGGTGCTTGAAGCTTTTCACTGGCAGCAACTTTCAGCGTTCACGGAGATAGTGACGAGTGAATGAGACACGAGCGAACAAAATCAGGGAGGCGGCGGCGCGCAGGCGACGACAGAGAAACAAACAAGCGAAGCGGCGAAATCAAAATTGAATATAAGCATTATATCGATATATACGATATGTCAGAATTCATATCGAGTTTTTAAAAAATCTCGATATATTAAAAATATCGAGATATCGCCCACCCCTAATCCAAATTGCTGTAGAATTTCACCAGAATTTATACTATAGATCCCACAAGGCTCCTCCCAGGTACGTGCACCATGGCCAGTCCTCACACTGGTTTTTCTGAGAAAAACAATTCTAAGAATTACTTCAATTACTTAAAAAAATGCTTCCTTTGCTCTGCAAGCCAGACGCTTAACTAAAATATCTGTCTCTCAAGTCCCACATTATTTACTATGACTGAAATGACTTTCAAAACACTGAAAATTATTATTATTATTATTGTTATTATTCAAGTTCTGCGGGACGGATTAAACAGATTAAAGGGCCGCATATGGCCCCCAGGCCATAGTTTGCCCACCCCTGGATTATACTAATAGTTCCATGTGAGGGGCTGAGAGACTGAGTCAGACTGGAACCACCGTCACTACAGCGACAGGAGTAAAGTGGCCCCTAAATTAAACTATTGACGAGTTTATTTTTACTTTTTATTTTATTTATTTATCTTTTGAGGACTTCCCCTTATTATAAAATATCAAATATTTTCTTGTAAATTGTTTATTAATATGACAACGGTCCTAACGCCTCATCATTCTGAAACTCATGGATAGGCCTCTTATCAGTCCTATTTTTAAACACTTGGGAAAATGGGAGGATTAAATGAAAATCTCCAGGGCAGACTTCCAATGCTGCTGCAGCCTGTGCCACAGAGTATTACATTTTACAATCGATGAACTGTAAGGTAATTTATCATGTAAGAAGTCCAAACGTGATGTGTGTAAGGAAAGGGATTATTTTATTGTTATTTTTTATTGTAGAAGTCTGGCCTGTAGGACTTTTGGTTGCTCTGTTCTCGGTTTCTTTTACCAGCAAGCAACAGTTTTTTAGATTTTTATTGTGACATAAAAAACTCCAAAAGGGCCAAAGTTTAGAAAATGTACTTATTTATTTAGACTGTCTTCGTAAATAAAAATACAAAAATACAACACTTGTTGCAGTCATAAATAATAGTCCAGTCAATGTGCTAGAAATGTTCTCAAGAGAACTCATCCTTTCAAAATAAAACACATTATTCTAGAAAAATATGACAATTATTTCAACACAAAAATGTTAGAGAGATGTAACACAAAATTAAAATTTCAAACAAAGGCTTCAAAATGAGCACAACAGCTTTTCTCTATAAAAGAGACTAACTCGGAACTAATCCTGGACAAAACCTGGAACTAAACCTGGACTACACCAGGACTTAACCAGGTCTAAACCAGAACTAAACTGGGCTCAAACAAGGACTAACACAGTGTGAATACAGCCTTAGAGCCAGCAGGAACTAAACCAGGATTAAACCCATTTTAATACATTATGAGGCACCACAAAAGGACTTCCCAGTCCAAAAGACAAAACCATGACTAAATTAGGTCTAAACCTGAACTACACCAGGACTAACCCAAGCCTAAATCCAGTTTAAACCAGGTCTAACCCTGGTTTAACCCTGGTCTAAACCAGGTCTCACTGGAGCCCACAGAACCTCTCGCTCTCTTCCCACAGCCTGCGTGCGGCGTGTGCGTCTTTGGCCTGGGGGGCGGGCTCTTGCTCCTCGCAGCAGCAGAAGTAGGAGCCGCTCAGCCTCTCCAGCCCCTCCTGAAGAGCACAGTGCAGTGTGGTCTGAGCGCCCTCCTCTGGACTCAAGAACAACAACCGTGACACTGGCTCCACCAGAACCTTCTGCCACAGCGAGATGTTACGCGCCAGCTCTGTGCGGATGACGCCTGCAACGAGAGACACACTGAGGACCAGAACTCAACTCCACCAGGACCAGAACTCAAGGTCTAAACCAGGACTGATCCATTGACATGTATGGACCAATCAGATGGTAGTATCTCACCTGGGTGAACACAGAAGCAGGACACAGAGGTTCCCTGGAGACGGCGGCTGAGTTCTCGTGTGAAGAGGATGTTGCACAGTTTACTGTTGCAGTATGCCTTGAAAAACTGCCAAGAATATGTGCCCGTACCAAGGTCATGGGTCTGCTGCAGGGTCTGAGGAGACAAGGAGGCATGTGAGGAGAGAGGAGACAAGAGTGGAGAGGAGAGAAGAGACGAGAGAGGAGAGAGAAGAGGGTTCAATTTCATCCCTCCTGACTGCAAGATGCACTGAAGAATTTCCCTGGTCATGTGGGATTCATAGAAGTAGTAGTTACTGTTAGCTTTGTTAGGAAGAAAGGTTAGGAGGTTAAGAGAAGGTCTGTTCATACATGGAACATTATTTTGGCCCTTGTTTACATTTTGATTGCTAGGTTAAAATTTCAAAGGGACATACTGTATAATACTAAAAAAGCTAATTTGTACAGAAGGATTTCACTTGAAGCCTAATTTATGTCCTAGACATAATTGAACATCTGTGTGTGACGCGTGCAGAACAAACGTGACGCGTGCAGAACAAACGTGACGTGTGCAGAAGGAGAATGTGATCCTAAAATAGCTCCAGACTCAAGCAGAGTCCTAACAAGAGTCTGAAATGCGGTTTGACCCGTTTGTTCTTCAAACGTTTGTCCTCGAGGATCTGTGACCAGCTCTCAAAAGTACCTGTAACTACTGTTGAGAGAAACTTATAATTACATAACAACACAGCTGAAATCAACTAGATAAAACCATATCAGATGGCCTCCCTGTGTATCCGATGCCCTCCATGGGGTCTTATTCCATGCTAACCCTGTAGTTTAGACTTCTACAGTCTTGAAATGCATGGGATTCTTGAATTAGACAGCACAGGAGCAGAGCTAGAGGAACAGAGCTAGAGGAGCTAGAGGAGCAGAGAGCTAGAGGAGCAGAGCTAGAGGAGCAGAGACAGAGGAGCAGAAACAGAGGAGCAGAAACAAAAGAGCAGAAACAAAAGAGCAGAAACAGAAGAGCAGAAACAAAAGAGCAGAAACAAAAGAGCAGAAACAAAAGAGCAGAGACAGAGGAGCAGAGACAGAGGAGCAGAAACAGAGGAGCAGAAACAGAGGAGCAGAAACAGAGGAGCAGAGACAAAAGAGCAGCAAGAGCAGAAACAGAGAGCAGAGACAAGAGAAACAGAGCAGAGCAGAGAGCAGAAACAGAGGAGCAGAAACAGAGGAGCAGAGACAAAAGAGCAGAAACAGAAGAGCAGAAACAGAGGAGCAGAGACAAAAGAGCAGAAACAGAGGAGCAGAGACAGAGGAGCAGAAACAGAGGAGCAGAAACAGAGGAGCAGAAACAGAGGAGCAGAGACAAAAGAGCAGAAACAGAAGAGCAGAAACAGAGGAGCAGAAACAGAGGAGCAGAAACAGAGGAGCAGAAACAGAAGAGCAGAAACAGAAGAGCAGAAACAGAGGAGCAGAAACAGAGGAGCAGACCTGGAAGTCGATGGAGCCCCAGCGGTGGGCCATGGAAGACACTGTGATGATCCGAGCATTGGGGCTCTGTTTGAGTTTGTCCAGGAGAAGGTTGGTCAGGAGGAAGTGGCCCAGATGATTCACCCCAAACTGGATCCCAAAGCCATCCTCTGTGCGCCCGTCTCCAACCAGACCTGAGAGAGGAGCACCAGAGACTGAAACAGGACTGAAACAGGACTGAACCAAGACTGAAACAGACTAAAGTGGGACTAAAACGAGTTTAAACTAGTCTAAACTAAGACTAAACCGAATCTAAACTGGACGTAAACCAGGTCTAACCCAGGACTAAACCCGGTCTAAAAGGGTTTGTGTTACCTGCGTTGTTGATGAGGATGTCGATATGGGGTTCGGTCTTCAGCAGGTTCTCAGCGAAGTTTCGGACCGACTTGAGACTGGCCAGATCCAGGTGTCTGTAGACCAGGTCAGAGTTCCCCGTCTCCTGCAGCACATTCAGGAAGAGGGCATTTAAAAACAAAACAATAAAAGGTCACGTGTTTCAAAGCAAAAGCTATTAGGGTCAAAATAAGTCTGCTGTGTACTGTCTGCATCTAATTATAAAGCATTTTATTGTCTGAGAATCAGGAAGTGCATGTTTGCATGCTAACATGTTAGCATGTTAACGTGTTTGTTACTCCACTCTGGTCTCTGAGTGTCGTGCAAAGTGCTTATAAACCGATCGTGGTGAATAATCTGGATCCTCTGAATGCATAAGGTAACACTTTGTTGACCAAACCTGAAATGATTTATTTGGCTAAAAAAATAATAAAACTTTCTTGTGAAAGAGTGTCTGCTGTTGTTGTCTCATGTCACACGTGTTTTCGGCTGTTCCACATGTGACGTTTTCTGGAGACTCCACAACAAACGTGACTATTCTGCTCAGACTATGACATCCCCCACAAACATGTGCAGAGCGGCTTTGGAATTTTACTTTATGAAAGAAAACATGAAACATTTTGAACAGTTAAACTACTAGGCTATATTTAAAGCAGACCTATTCTACACACACTCACACACACTCTCCCTTCCTTTTGTTTAACCTTTTTTTTTTGTTTGTATGTGTGTTAGTTTTATCTTTTGTTATGTTTTGTTATGTTTATTTTGTTATTAATGTGCAGGGTGTACATACAGTCAAAATTATCGTAGTTGAAAAAAAAACAGACCTAGCAAAAAAGTTGTTTTAAATGAATACTGTGGTTTAAAATGTACAAATTATAACATAATGAGCCATGGATGGCATAGATTATAATTATAGAGCAGACACACAAGCACAATATGTCTGCTTTAAATAAAAAAATATATTCTGGTTAAATATTTGTATGACATTTTCATTGACAAAACTAGACTAAAACTGAAATGTATTATTGGAATAAATATTGATTGCATTGAAGAATGTTTTAGAATAGTCTATATAATTGTACAGGTTTGACAAGTTAAACAGGTACCAGTACAAACAGGTACATGTTCTGTCTAGATCAAACCCAGACTATGAGAATGTAATGATAAAATCATTCCACCTGAGTTCAGGTACACTGACAGAGAAGATGTGAACTTTGTGACAGTTTTTGTTTCATGTAGATAGGCCCTGTAAATACAGAGATATAAAGCATAAACCAGATCACGTCCATGTTGGGTCTCGTGTTCTGACCTGTTGGATCTCCAAAATAGCCATCTCTGCCACGCGCTGGTTCCGACAGCCCATAATGACCCGTGCTCCTCTTCGGGCCAAGTTCAGCGCTGTGGCTTTTCCGATCCCACTGTTTCCTCCTGAAATACAAACACACCTGTCACAAAGCTGCTCGTGCCTGCTCCTGCCTGCTCCTGCCTGCTCCTGTCTGCTCCTGTCTGCTCCTGCCTGCTCCTGCCTGCTCCTGTCTGCTCCTGTCTTATTTATATAATGATTTCATGTGTAAAGATGGTCAGAAATTGTACATGCTTAATCATTTAAATCTAAAGCATATTGTGACAGGATTAAAATTTTTATTTTTGCTGAATTTTTTGGGGGAAAACTAGACGCTATTGAAAAATACTTAAATGTCCTATATTATGCAAAATGAGCTCTTGTGAGGTTCAAGCCACTGTTGTTACCTCATCAAAACATAGCTGGAGTTGTGTTTTGTTCATTCTCACATGTTTAAGTAACCCTGTAATATTAGGCTGTCTACATTTCCATGACTCCACCTTGTCAAAACATGTAGTGGTAGTTTTCAAGTTAAAAGCTACGTTTTACTTTTAGTTCAGATAGTCCAGGTCTGACACTATCCAAATGATTCTAGTGAAGATGTATGGAGTTTAAAAATACAGTGAAGCAAGTGTATTACCACATGACATCACACTGAGTTAACATGTGTGAATGAAACAAAACACCACGCCTGGTATGTTTTTGATGAAGAAATAACATTTAACATAGATCAGAAAACAGTGTAATATGAGTTGTTACATGTTAATGTTACATTTTTACAGGTACTCCCCAGAATATAGACACAAAGGCAGGAGACAGTCTGGATGTCTTATGCAAAAGTTTACAACCAATCACAATAGTCAGGGGTACATTGATCATTCAGCACATTGTCACATATGGTATTGATACTTTGCAGCTGATGTCATCAACATTCTCTGGGGGTGTGATGCTAACTGTAGACACTACTCTGTCTGAAGCTCTGTTACTCAGGCTTTATCCAGACCTTATTTTAACACAATCTGACCAGAAAGAATTGACTTAGCTGGAACTACAACAGGAGAGCTGATTTGTGCTCTTAAACAAGTGTCTCACACATAAAATTATAGTCACAAGCTGGCTAGACAACAGTTTTTTTCAGTTTTCAGTCCCTCATCTTTTTGTTGAACATCAAACAGGACCATGATCACTCATATTGATCACAGGCTCTGGAAAATGTGCTGGGGGGTGATGTCACTGCCAAGTATCAAATGCCCATCCAAGCCCTGGTGAAATGTATTGAAGAACTGTGTGTATATCAGATATATTGACAGTGACTACAGACACATGAAGAACATGCAAACAGACAGACCCCACTTGCTCTGTGACTGATAATCACATTTAATCTCTTACCAGTGATGACCACGGTTTTCTTGGCCATGGGAAGGTTTCCACGGCAATGTGAACGTTTGAACAGCGTTTTGTTCAGGATCACATAGACTCCGGCGACCACCGCGAACAGGAGGACAAACTGAAGCATGGCACAGGTGAGGGCTGTATACACGTGAGAACTTTCTACAGGTGACAGGGTCTGTGTCCAGGTAAGGTCGGTTCTACGGGTGAGAGCCCAGGTGAGATCTGCGTCCAGGTGAGATGTGTGTAGAGGTGAGAGAGTTCAGATGTGCTGTGGATCTGAGCAGAGAGAGAGAGCACCTTTATCACCTGTGGAGCTCGCCCAGGTGAGTCAGAGCCAGTCAAACCTGCTCCACCTGAAACTGCCACACGTCAGAATCAAACATCAGCATAGAGCATTCACAGGGTCAGATCTATGGAATGTCCCGTCTCTGCTGAGCCTAGAACAGGCTTAGACTAAAGATAATAAACATGCACACAAGTATGGTATAATTTTATATTCCTCGAGGTGCCACTGACGTGAAACTATCAGCAGGTATTTGACATAGCTATGCAAAGCACAAACATGTTCAGTGTTTGAAATGACAGGCAGTATTGGTCATATGAGGAAAGAGAGGGAAGAGAAAAGTCAGTTGCACCTTATTAAGAAATGTAATGTGTCCGTTTTAGAGTTCTTAAAGGTGCATTGTGTAACTTTTCTGTTTGAGGGTCTGCCAAATGTTTTTCTTCATGGAGATGTTAAAGCTTTGTCTGGAAAGTATGGAATTAATCCACAGTATGGAATTAAAAATTTCTATCTCCATGGAAACAAACAAATCAGATAAAGTTACAGGTCAGATCTGTGGAGAACACACAGATCTTTTTGACTTATAAAACCACCTGTAATTTAATAAATGAAAGGTAGAGCTGTTAATGCCATACTGTGGAACATTCCAGGCAGAGCAATGACATAACCAAAGAAACAAGCAGGTGATAGACCCTCCACCAGAAAAGTTACACAATGCACCTTTAAAGCAGACCTATTGTGCTTTTTTCATCTACATATTTATAATCTATGACACCCGTGGACCATTATATTACAATTTGCAAATTAATCTAAAACTGCTTATAGATTTTTAAAATTGCAATATTAATCTAAAACAACTTAATAAAAGGAAACAAGTCCGCTGAATTCTGCTTTAGAAAATTGTGGTGTCAAATGGAAGCTAATGTACCGTCATCACAACAAATGCATGGGAACCTCCTGTGAATAGCTGCAGCTCACACTAGAGCAGAGCACTTTCATTTGTACCAAAATGACTACACAATGCTGCTGAATCCTACGTGCATCACCAATTAATAAAATAAAACTGCAAAGGAAGAGTGTACGTCAAAATGGGCGTGTCCAGGTGGAGGTGATTATGGGGGTAGGTCAGCAAAATGGCGCTTTGAAAGTGAGCAATTAAAAATGACTCAGAGATACACAAATCACTCCAAATACAACTTCAGATAGTCAGTGAAAAGGAAACAACTATAACATGGTCTGAAAGCTCTGAAAAGTCCATTCTGTAGAATAGGTCTGCTTTAGATTGAGCTGTATAAGATATGTGGAAAAAAGCACATCGTAATCTAAAATAAATCCACCTAACCTCTGGTTGGGAAACACTGATTAGTCACAGCGCTGAGAGTTTATTACATCACAGTTACCTCATCAAAAACATACCTGGAGTTTCTGTTTCATTCACACATTTGAGTTATCCAGTATTAGTCTGTCTACATTTCCAAAGCTCAAAATGTTCTGTTCCACCTTTCAATGTCATGAAGCTATAGTTTTCAAGTCAACAGCCCCTGTTTAAAAATAGTAGAGCACTTCCAGCATTATGACATCCCAAGGTGGAACAGAGTATTTTCTATTTGAGAGAAGAACTAAAAATGCAGGATTTGTGTGTTAAACATGTGTGAATTAAACAAAACACAGCTCCAGGTATATTTTGGTGAGGAAACAACAGTATAAAACGGCATAATATGGTCCTTTTAACACATAACACACAAACCCTGAAAATGTAGGCCGAGTTCTTCAGAAAACAGAAAATACTAGGACCAAGAAATACCAAGGAGCACTCCATTGTGTTTTCAAACTCCAAACACCTTCATTAAAATCATTTGGATAATTACAGCCTTAGAATTGCCAATCTCTATGGACTAAAGGTAAAATGGGCTGTTAACTTGAAAAGGAGGAACAGGTGGAACAGAACATTTTGAGCTTGGGAGATGTAGACAGACTAAGAATAAAGAGTAACACAAACATCTGTCAATAAAATAAAACACAACTCGAGGTATGTTTTTGAAGAGGTAACAACATTATAACATGGCTTAAAGCTCACAAGATTCAATTTTGTGTAATACAGGACTTTTAATGGAACAGTATAGTGTTTGCACCCATTTGAAACTCAAATGCACCCTCAGCCAGTTTGGTCTGGTCCAGAGAACTGACACAAAACAGCACCGCCCTACTGTTCACACACTGACTGCACATGCAGGCTATATTCCATTTTCTGTTTTCTATTTTCAAGAACATAATACTTTGTCAATTCAGCCCCTGCATCTGAAAGCACAAGTGTTTTTTATACTTCAATGCAACCACTCACATTTGTTCTCATAAGAATCATTTGGAATGAAGAGATTTTAGTTCAGATCAAAATGCATGCAAAAATTATAGGACTGCAAGTTGTTTTTAAAAGTTTTTTTTTCACTGACTCTATTGTATATCTATTCGTTTTAAGTATAGTTTTAAAAGTTGATTTAGTAGACAAGGCTAAACTAAGTGACTAGCCCACACTTGGCTCCAGCTGCAGCCCACAGACCTCCTCCTCCCCGGGAAGAACCATCCAGAACCCGCAGAGTACACACTCCTCTGCTGGAACCTTCCACGACCCCACGGTGCAACCTTAACCGCGGGAGGAGCCCTGTCACCGGGCTTATCATAGCATATGCGGTGTAACCCCGGAGGAGACAGCTTGCTCTGGGCTGCAGCTGAAGCCGAGCGAGTTTACAGAAGACCCGGGGAAGTTTGGAGGCTAACGGGCTAAGCTAATCTTAAGCTAACGTTAAACTAAAGCTACAGCGGAGAGTCTTCGTGTCAGAACCCGAGGAGGTGACAGGAAAGCGGGTTAGACTTTGGAAAGACTGTGCTCTGTGCTAACAGGCTAAGCTAAAGCTATTACAGTCATTCCAGATAAGAATAATTTGGGTAAACATCGAACATTTTATTTGGACACCTTTCTCTGGGACTGGAGAGTTACCGGGCTTTCCCAAAACTACAGCGGGGATTCTGGAGCTGACCACTGGTGGAGGGTGCGTCTGACTGGGGCTGACTTCAGAGGAATGTCCGTTATTTGTTGGTGTTAAGACCCACCCGAGTGACCCTCACCCCGTGTGACCCTCATCCCCGTGTCTGTCCCCGAGAGTCCGGCTGTACCGGGAGCATGTTCGGCTGTATCGTAGCGGGCCGGCTCGTTCAGACGGACCCTGTGCCAGTGGCCTCGGATAAGTTCGTGTTTAATTTACCGGACTTTGAGCAGGTGAACCACGTGGTGGTGTTCATGCTGGGCACGATGCCATTTCCCGCTGGCATGGGCGGGGCGGTGTACTTCTCTTTCCCGGACCCTGCAAGCGGTGGAGCGGTGTGGCAGCTGCTCGGCTTTATCACCAACGACAAGCCCAGCGCCATCTTCAAGATCTCCGGCCTCAAACCCGGGGAGGGAGGGACGCACCCTTTCGGCTTCATGGCGCCGACCGCCTCCGCCACCGTGGCCCAGGTGAGAGGGAGAAGCCCCGGAATGAGTGGGGAAGCCGGGGGAAGAGAGGGGAGCCCAGGGGCTAGAGACAGGGAAGGGGGAAGCCTGTGGGAGAGAGGGGGGCCCGGGGGAGAGAGGGGTCACATGAGGACATAACCTGCTCCTCTGACGGGTCCTTTTCTTTGGTTTCCCTCTGATAAATGTGTTCTACGGTGGGGTTTGTTTATCCTCCTCTTTCATTCTATGGGCTATGAGATGTTTTTAGTTTCACTCTTTCTCTTCAGGCGGTGTATTGGATATGTAGTTTCTCAGTTCCTCTTGCCTCTCTCCAAGTAGCTATATAGTGTATCTGTTTACCTGTATATTCATCCTTCCATCTCTTTGGGTGGGCGTATTAGATGTTTTGGTTTCTCGTTTCCTCAGTTCCTCTTCTTTGTCTCCAGGTGGGTGTGTCGGTGGAGCCCTTGGACCAGCTCGCTCAGCAGAGTCCTGTCTCCTCCGCAGCTGTCTCCTCTGTGGACTCCTTCCTCCAGTTCACACAGAAGATGTTGGACAGTTTGTACAACTTTGCAGCGTCGTTTGCGGTGACACAGGCCCAGATGACCCCTAACCCCTTGGAGAGCTTCGTCCCCTCTAGCTGCCTCCTGCGCTGGTACGAGAACTTCCAGAGACGCCTGGCACAGAATCCAAACTTTTGGAAGAACTGAACCAGAGCTTGGACCAAAGACCAGAATGTGCCTGCACTGGAGAATGCTGTAAAAATGACTTGAATGGATATATGCATCATGCTGGTGGAGGGGGGGTGTTCGGAATGTATGTGTATGGAAGAATGTTCATCAGTTACCATGGTGACACAATGCATACATTTGCAAACGCAGCCTAAAAGTTTTAAGTCTGAAAACTCAAGAAAAAATACAAAATGAATTTAAATAACACATTTTCCTTAGCGTTTTATCAATTGTTCATGGTCCATTTTAGGTGTTTGATTTTCAACAAAAAGTTGAGAGTGACTAACAGAAGGTGTAATGCAAAGTATCAGTAGTAAATATTCAACACGATTTATTATTGGTTAATTTCTGTAGCTGCAGAAGTGTTGTTGCTCACACCACCAACTGATGAGAATATATGAACAATGCACTATGGCTGGGTAATGTTACAAAACCAGCTTTCTATATTGCCGGTAAACAAAACGATACAGACTTTTAATGAGTGCCAAAAATAGTCTAATTTCTTCCTCCTTTGACTTCTGACTGTCCAATCCATCATCTTTTCCTGGCAGGACTCGCTGTTCACATCCGCATAAAAACACCCAGTCTTTAAAATTCCATTTGTCCAATTATCCAGCCCTTTATTAGATTTGAATGCTCAGTGGTTAATAGTTATTTGCGTATTTGATTTAAAGACAGCTGTGACTGGATTTGAATAATTAAAAAAGAAATATATTTTTGCATTATCCAAAGATGCAATTTGTGATATTTATTTTGTGTTAATTCTCTTACACAATTGGCCAATGATGTATTTTAAAAAGACAGATTTGTTCAGCTCTAAAATAATGAAATGAAAAACAAAAGAAAAATCTATCTATCTAAATATTTTCAGTTCTTGTGATGGTTCTAGTGCTGTTTTCATGGCTCGTTGGACTTCAGTGTGGAGCTTGCAGAGGGTCAGAACATAGACAGTGAACTTAAACCTAATACACAACCAGATGCCAAACTCCAGTGTGGGGCATTTGAACACGTCTGGACTCAAAATCACATCAAACTTTTAGGAGGACTGTAACCTGGATTTACCTGATGTGATGTCAGTGAGTTGTTGGACATTTGCTTGGTGACTTTCCTTATCATGTTGGCACTTGTTTGAAATGCTGCGCTTTGAAGGATTATTACACTGATATGTAAAATAAAAGAAAACATGATTTATAAATTGTGAAAGGTTGTTTTCTTCACCTGCCTGTAAGTAGTCTAGTTTAGGAGTAAAATACAACAGTGTCACCTGGTGGCCACTTGCAGCCTTACAGTTCAGAAATCATTGAAATATAAGGGATATTTCAAAAAGGATTTCTGAATTGTAAGAATTAAGTATTAACCACGGTATTAATTGATGTGTGTGTTTATTGCATGTTAATAAAAAAACGTGTAAATAATTCCTGAGTCGTTGCAAAATAAATAAAGTCACGTGCTTTGTACGTCGCCAACGCAAAACGGAAGTGAAAGACCCCGAAAGTCATGGCGTGTTTTGCAGCGGGCAGCAGAAGTAGTAGCAGGACTTTCGCTATGTTTTCTTTACTTAGGCAATCAAAACAGCGCTTTCTGTTTTGCTGTCTGTTTGTAATAGTAAGTTTTGCGTCTCCTCCAGTGAAAGCCAAGCCGGATAGCCTCAAAGAAGTGACGGACTCTAACTGGGAGGAGATCCTGACCGGAGAATGGATGATTGAATTGTCAGTACTGAACCGCTACTGCTAACAGCTAACACCGGGTCTAGTCTGCTTTAGCACCTATTTTAGTCAACATCTAAGCGTTTCTTCATGCTTTTAATGCTTTGTTTACTCGGACTACTCATTTATGTTTGGATTGCGTTGTTTGTTTAGAAATTTTAACTATTTTGCTACTGTACCGCTACTGTACATTTTGATGGTAGCTGCCATGTCTCGCACTAGTTCTGCAAATGTAATGCTCAGCCTCTAAATCCTTCCTGCTTCATTGCGTTTACGTTAACAATTACTTTATTTTACGTGGGGTTATCCTTTGACATCAATGCATTAATCAGTTTAATTTATAGTATATTGCATACTCATGTTAATATTGTATGTTAAAGCGGTTAATGAATAATTATTTAGTGGAGGAGGTTTGTAGAATTAATGTACAGTTTTGTATTGTTTGTCGACTATATGCGTCATGACGTTTACATTATAATTGCATGCTTGGGCTTTCAAAATCTGTGTACTTCTACAAAATAAGGTTCTATTTAAGTACCTTAATGTCCATGTCCATGAATGAAATGTATGGCTGCAACGGTTAATCGGAATAATTGTGGTTTGTTGACTACTAAATAATCAAATAATCATCTCAATCAGACTATACAAACTCTAAAACACACGACAATGGAGCCTTTTTACACAATAATTACAGCCGCTTTGTTAAATCAGATTTAAATATATATATTATTTTATTTAATTTTTGACAATCAGTAATATACTTTATTCATAAATATACTCTCTTTAAAAGGCTTCACTCATCATATTGCAACCTTTAATTGGTTAGAAATGCATTACTGGGAACATTCTGTTATTTATTTATTATTCTGCATTGTGGTTTGGTTTATATCTTATCACCAATAAATCTATCTTTACTTCACTTCATAATTTGTTATCCTGCCAGGCCTAGTTAGAAATGCATAAAAAAAAATCTTAATGTACAACAGAAATGATTATTTGATTAGTTGATTAATTGGTAAAAATATTTGTTGACCACTAAAATAATTTGTTGTCGCCCCAGTTAAAATGTTAGTGGAAATGCTTTTGCAGTTCTGTTTCTGTTTCTTAGGCCTAGTCAGACTAAATGATTTTGAGTAGAACGGTCATGTACATTTTTCACATTCTTTCCCTCTGTCTTGACTCTTTACTGAGTCTCTTGGTTTAATAAGATCCTGTGCCCTTGCAGTTATGCCCCGTGGTGCCCGGCGTGCCAACAGCTCCAGCCGACCTGGAAGGAGTTTGCCGACTGGGGGGACGATATGGGGGTCAACATCGCTAAGGTGGATGTGACCGAGCAGCCTGGTATGTGACATGCGTGACTCTATAAACCTTAAACCAAAATATAACTTGAACTACACAAGGGTGCAACAGTTTGTGGTTTTCAAATTGTACAATGTGATGATGCCAGACTCCCAGATGGGGGCAAGAGCCTGTTTTTTTGCTTTGATTAATTATACTTTGTCATGAAATATCCAAAAGGTAAACTCACAAACGTTGAATCTGACAATCTCTATTACTAACTAGACCCCTAAACCTGCTATATTACAACAAAAAAACAACAACATTTTGAAGTGCGACATTTTGTTCAACGAAATACAAACAATAAATTGTAATATTCAAACCAAACAATGAAGCGGAATTATTCACACACAAAGTATTCTAAATATTCAGTATTGGTCAAAATCATGAGCTGCAGTAAATAACAGAATGCAATATGTTAAGCATTCAATTGTAAGATCATAATTCAACCCTCTACACATGAAATTTTAGCATATTGTAGAAAAAGATGACATAAAAATCCCACTATTACAAAGAAAAAGTACTCACGAGAAATATTGACCCCTAAAAATAATTGTTCCATCTCTCATATATTAAAGAATAAGATTAAGAATATTCATTTTTGCTGCCCCCATCTGTATTAAAATCCAGAATATTTTGATGTCATCTGAAACCCAGAAATATATGGAGAATAATGTGGCTTTTTAGCTCTGCTGATAAATAAAGACTAAATGCAGATAAAATATAATTACACCTATATGTTTAAGACAATACTGCAGGCATAAAGTGTTAGTTTTACCAATGTTTTTTGTTCAGATTATTTTTAGACTACAGGGACAAAAGGTTTAGTTTCCTATGTACATTTGAAATTAATTTGAGAGAAAACTGGTTCTGAATTGGTTTGGCAGCTCATATTTCAGTATTCTAATCTATAAGGCTTTGCAGGTTCAGTGCATTACTAGACCCCATGGACATAGGAAACTTTGATTTTCTTAGAGGTAGGCCTGTCACAATAATTATTATATCGACTTATCATGTGGTATATGAAAACAGTTATTTTTGGGGTCAGTATTTATCTTGGGTACTTTATCTTTTGTTTTAGTGGGGGAGTTTTTGTTCTTTTTCTGTGCTATGAGTTCAGCTGAAGAGGGTTGAATAACGAACTTCTACCACTCATTCTAGATGTATTCTATCTAAAGTCTTTTGTTCTGCTGTTTATTTTATTTATTTGCAGCTAATTTTATTTTTAACTATTGGTATATTGTACACTTAGAATATATTTTTTCGCTAATATTTTTTGGTTATACTGTAGTGGGATAGATTAGCTTTAGTATTATCTTTTATCGTTTTTATTTTCTTCAGCAATATAGATTAATTCAAATTGTGTTTATTATGTCAGGTCTATGTAGAGGACATTTTATCAGCTAAGTAATGGAGTTGTGTTGAGCACTTCCTGTATTACCACATGACATCACAAGGTGGACCAGAGTATTTTCAGTTTAAGAACTCAACATAACAAATGAAACAAAACACAACTCCAGACATGTTTGTAACTTAGGTAAAAAAAATGGCGTAATATGGGTTTTTAAATTTATGTGAGTAATGTGTCTTTCTTCTAAACTCCTGATGTGGGTGACTGTCCAACTTCACAAGAATCTATCCAAAAACTCCCTCAGACGATGAATCTAGACAATGGTTTACTGTTTAAGTTACTAGCCAAAGTCAAACTGGTGCCAGATCTAAATAGAACCACAGAGCTCGGTTTACACAGGCCCTGTCAGGTTATTGTTGAAAAACTGGGTCACTGCAAAAGTAAAACGTAAGGCTACACAAGAACACCACAAAGATGATCATTTATTTTCTATTTTTAAAGGTCCTACATTACACAAAATTGACTCTTGTTAGAATGTTGTAACCTCCTTGAAAACAGACCTGGATTTGTGTTTTGTTCCATTCACACATGTTTGAGTAATTATAATTAGTCTGTCTACATCTCCAAAGCTTAAAATGCTCTGTTCCACCTTGTGATGTCATGAAGAGGTAGTTTTCAAGTTAACTGTTACCTTTTACTTTCTGTTCAGTAGAGATTGTCAATTCCAGGGCTGAAACTAACCAAATGATTCTAGTGAAGGTGGAGCATTTCCTGTATTACCACATGACATCACAATGCGGAACAAAAGAAAACACAACTCCATGTATGTTTGTGATGAGGAAACAACATTATAATATCGATCAGAAAATAGTCTAACATGGGCCCTTGAACTTGCTAGCTGCACCAAATATTTACTTGTAAATTTTCTTTTCTCTCTCTCTCAGGGCTGAGTGGCAGATTCATCATCACATCTCTTCCTACTATTTACCAGTAAGTGACTTTGTGGTTTCTGCTTTTGAAACTGGCTGTGGGTGGCAGCGGATGTCTGATATAAAAAGATGAAATTATTGGTGAGCACTTGATAACAGTTCATTCTGAATGATATACACGAGCATGAATTAAATCTAATATGAATGTTACTGTTGTTTTAAAATCAGCAATTTCAATAAGAGGTAAGCAGGCAGTAGTTGTTAATCAAAACTAGGAGTGTGCACATAATAAATAATAATATATTTTAAAAAATCAGAATAAAGGTGAATTTTAAAAGACCAGTGTGTTGTGTATTAAGGATGTAACAATAACAGAAATATTGTGATATTGTATCGTCAAAAGTCTCAGTAATATATCACAGTATATTGAATTACAAGTTTCTCTGCTTAAATTCAGTTACAGTGCAGCATGAGCTAAAAAAAAAAATAGAGGGAACTACATAGACCATGATCCTTTGCTCTGTTTCAATGCAGACTGTATGAAAAATTACTGTTATTTAGCGCTTTGATTCTGTCATAATCCAACTAATTACAATTTTAAAGTCTTGTCAAGGCATTTAAAGAGCAAAAAGTAACATATTCACAATTCTGTTAGCCTCTACAAAATATTTCAATAAATCTTGTACCGAGAGTTGTGTATCGGGGAAATATCTTATAGAAAAAATTGAAAATGGATATATCGTTACATCCCTATTATTTATACATACCTTGTTTAAAAGAACCTTTATTTGGAAATAATATTGGAAGACCAAAATTTGCCTCTTTGAAGTAATAATTAAAAAAAAAAAAATGTAAAAGTGCATGCAAATATTGTGTTAAATCATTGTATGGTAATATTAAATGAAGTGGTGTAATTAAAGGCTTAACAATGACAAGAGCTGCTCCATATCCTCATGCTTTATCTTCATCTTTTATTCCAGTTGTAAAGACGGAGTATTCAGAAAGTACCACGGACCTCGCACCAAAGATGACTTCCTCAGTTTTGTCGATGAACAGAAATGGAAATCTATTGAACCCATCTCCTCCTGGTTTGGGCCCTCCTCATTTCTGTAAGAACACTTTTATTACTATGTATTACTTTTGCATACAACAATATCTAATTTGGGTACAGTTTTAATATAACTACACCTTAATGAGCCCTTTATAAAGCACAAGCAAAGATAATTCTTTATGAACAAATAGTTTATTAAGGATTCAGGTGTAACTACTTAACCAAAGGTGCCACCATCTAAGGGAGATGTTTTTGCTTTTTCTGGAATGTCCCACAGTATGGCTTTAAACCCATTTGTTGTCAGTTTCAACAAACTGAAAACAAATTGGCACCAGAAGACAAAGTTACAGGTCAGCTCTATGGGGAGATGACCCTGAACAATGCATCTTTTTCAAGATATTTTAGAGCAATTAAAACACCTGTTGATTTTGAAAGCCATACTGTGGGACATTCCAGAATAAGCAATAACGTCTCCATGGACACGTGAAGATATTGGTGGAAAGAGTTAAGGAATTCTCCAGCATGATGTGATGATTTCCAACCATCTTAAACATAATGCTGGACATAACATAAGCTGGATTTCAATGCATTTTTTTATTGTTGTCTCTTTTCAGAATGAATGCAATGTCTGCTTTGTTCAAACTGTCCATGTTCATCAGAGTAAGTCACCATTTTGTAACACTTTTATCTGTTTTGCTTGTGTAATTTAGTCTTTGTAATAAAATGTCGTAATTTTTCTTTCTCAGCGTTGCCATAACTACATGACAGACGAGCTGGGGATTCCAAACTGGGGCTCGTATGTGATCTTTGGTTTGGTCACTCTGTTTTCTGGACTGGCCTTGGGTCTGGTGAGTTTGAATAAAGCACTTAAAGGTCCTATATTACACAAAGTTGTAAAAACTGTAGCCATGTATCAATGCCGTTAACCTCCTCAAAAACATGTGGAGTTGTGTTTTGTTTCATTCACACATATTTTATTATTAGTCTGTCTACATATCCAAAGCTCAAAATGCTCTGTTCCACCCTGTGATGTCATGAAGCAGTAGTTTTCAAGTTTATCTTTAGTTCAGTAGCAGTTGGAAATTCCTTGGGCTGGCATTATCCAAGTGTTTCTAGTGAAAGTGCATGGATTTTAAAAGCATTGTGCATTACGAAGGTAATCCAGAGAAAAAATAGATTCAGTGTAAAATATGTGTGAAACAAAACACAACTCCAGGTATGTTTGTGATGAGGAAAAGACATAACGTCGATCAGTAAATAGCTCAATCCGAGCTCTTTAGTCAGTGTAATTCCAGATGCATCCAGTAGAGGGCGGTGTTACATGTTTTTAACATAGGCATGATTCTCTTTGCAGTTGCTGGTTTTCATCGCAGATTACGTCTTCCCCTCGAGAAGATTTTCCTCTTCAGAATATTACCAAGAGTGAGTTTCTTATGAATTTCACAAACTGTTGAACCAGATTTATAGTGTTCATTGATTTTGGTTTCCTATCAAATATTTATGCTAGTACCTCACAGCTAAAATATAAACTGTTGAATTTGAAATGTATTAAGATGACCTTTCAGATTAAATTATTGTTTCATTATTATTGTTTTTTATTAATTTTCAGAATCTGAATTTGAGTCAAAGGCATTTTATTGTATTAAGTCCTAGGTACTCTATGTAACTTTTCTGGTGCTTGTTTCCATAGAAATGTTGTTGCTCTGTATGAAATGTTGCACAGTATGGCATTAAACTTATCTAAGTATGTGACAGCATCAGGCGAAGTTACTGGTCAGATCTGTGGAGATAAGAACCTGCTCTCTTGTCTTTAAGAACATAAACACCTGAATTTCAATACATGTAAAATGGATATGAATTCAAGATAGTTTAACGCTGTACTGTGGAATATTCTATGCACAAAGTAGTAACATTTCCACGGAGACAAGTTACAGTTCAGTTCTGTGGAGATGCAAACCTTCTCACAATAAGAAATAATTAATGTTTTTAGTGAGGTAATTGAATAAATGCAAGATAGTTTAATGCCATATTGTGAATTATTCTGAGCAAAGCAATAACATCTCCATGGAGACAAGCAGACGGCAAAACACTCCACCAGAAAAGTTACACAGTGAAGCTTTAAACAGTCGCTTATGTGTATTTGTATCTCCATGTTTTGTAATTTTAGAGAAACAAGCAGCAGAGCAGGCGCGTATGATGCAGGACGATGAACACGAGGCCGACGGAGAGGAGGAAGACGAGGAGGACGAAGAGGAAGTGTGGAGACGGAGGAGAGCGCCCCCCGAAGGCCGCTCCGAGAACGCAGCTCAGCCCACAGATGCGGCACTGAGGAAGAGGGCGGTGAGGGGCAGAGGAGATGAAGAGGAGGATGAGAGCGAGAGCTAGAGGGGTTTAATATTATTTTAGTGAAAGTTTTATCCTAAAACAACTCCTCAGTTCCTCTGTTTTTAGCCTGAAACAGATTTGACATGAGAAGAGACAGAGCTAAACATTAGTCTTGGTCCTTCTGATTTTAAAAGTACAACTATAGAAAGGTTAAAGGGCCCATATTAAGCTATTTTCAGATCTATGTTATAATGTTTCCTTATCAAAAACATACCTGGAGTTGTGTTTTGTTTCATTCACTCATGTTTAACACACAAATCCATTATATTCAGGCTGAGTTCTTTTCTCAAACAGAAAATAGTCCGTGTTCCACCTTGTGATGTCACAGGGAGTGCTTTACTCCATACACCTTCACTTGAATCATTTGGATAATTTCAGCCCTGGAGTTGCCAATCTCCACTGAACTAAAGGTAAAATGTAGCCGTTAACTTGAAACTACTACTTCATGACATCAGAAGTTGGATCAGAGCATTTTGAGCATTGGAGATGAATCCAGGATTACTCAAATATGTGTGAATGAAGCAAAACACAACTGTAGGTATGTTTTTGATGAGGTACCAACATTCTAACATAGTTTAAAGCTCACAAGAGTCAATTTTGCACAATATAGGACCCTTAACGACAAACTGTCTAACTCTGGTGCTTGTCTCTATGGTGATGTTATTGCTTTGCCAGGAATGTTCCACAGTATGTGATTAAAACTGTCTGTCTTATCTCCATGGGGACAAGAAGGTGCTACCACCAGACAATGTTACAGGTCAGACCTGTAGAGAGATGACCTGTAATAGAACAAATGCAAGAGAGGTTTAATGTCATACTGCGGAACATTTAGAGCAAAATACTAACATCCCCATAGAGACAAGCAGGTGGCAGATGCTCCACCAGAAAAAAAAATGACATTATAGTTGAGGGTTAATAGGTACTTGGTGCATTTGTTTCCTCTGTGTGTACTGTATTTCAGTTTTGAGTTTGGCTAAAATCTTTGGGATGGAGGAGTTGTGGATTCGTTTTGAGAATTAAAACTTGACCGTAGAGACTCAACAAGAGGGCGGCCATGTTGGAGTGGGCAGGGCTACAGCGCAGGAGATAAACAAACCAACGTCAGAACTGCTCCTGCTGCTTCCAGGTTTAGACGACAGGAACTTAACATCTTCTGTGGACAAAACCTGTTGGAGAATCTGGATCTGAGGCAACCAACTTTTGTTTGTTGGACTTGTGTAAGTTTAAGTATGAAACGGCTTATTATTACAGAAACTAAATTTGAAAGTGCAGTCAAAATTCTAGTTTAAATCAGTCAGCCATGATCGTTTAATCTCTTGTTGGTAAATATTATTGAAATATTACACATTTCTTTCAAAACTGAAATGGCAAATTGGCTCATATTTAGATTAAACGGGCCTGAACCAGACTTTGCACCAAATGGAAGAACATATTTCAGTATGAACTGTTAGCCCCTCTCATTTATTCTTTTTCCACACTGATGTTGAACCATGTGCTTGAGTCTGCTATTTACTATCTATGGATCCTTCTGTTATAATTTGCACATTTTAAACCACTAGTGCCCAGTGGGGGCTGATGTCGCCGTGAACGTCATCAAAACAAAGAGTCTGCAACTCGGATGGATAGCTGCAGATCACACTAGCGAGGAGCTGATTTTTTCTTTTCATTTGTACCAAAATGATACCACTATGCTGCTGAATCCAACGTGTACACACAGATTACCGATACACACTGATGTATATTAAATAAAAATTGGAAAACAAAGTAAGTGCAGAGCAGTGGGCAGTGAAAACAGAGCAGATTGACAAAATGGAGCATCTGGAAAATAAGTGATTAAAGATTGCTCAAACATGCACGAATCACTCCAAATACAACTTCAGAGAGTAAATGAGAAGGGGAAACGGCTATAACATGGTTAAAACTAAAAGCCCAGAAAGTAAATTATAGCATAATAGGTCTGCTTTACGACGTATTGGCAATATGAATCTATTTTCTTTATGAACGAGCTGTAATGAAAAGTCTGGTACAGGCCCTTTAGAGATGGTGCGGCCGTGTTGATAAATGACTTTCTTCTATGCATTGTTTATAAATGTGCGTTTGGATTTACTCCTGATTTGTGTTCAGAAATGTTACGTTTTATTTCAAATACTGTAGACTTTTCTTGTTAAACTGTTAAGTTTAAATATTCAAGGAGTATGATAACTGTAAATAATGTTATGAGTGGAGAAAAAGTTGATGTTTCAGTGCGATTGATGAAAAAATGATCCTTTTGTGTAACTTGTTTAAAAAGGTTTGTACAATTGCTGGGTTTTGGGAGGCGTCTGAGCTTTGATTTGATACTTTGCAGTGAGAGTCTGGGGGTGTTCTACATGCATCTCTATTCATTCAGCAGTTACCATGGTGACACAATGCACACCTTAGCGAACACAGGACAGTATCAAGTTTCAAGATAGTTTGAAAACTCATTATTTCTGGCAAGACTTGATCAGAGTTTTATTTTAACATGAGTAACAGAGCTTTAGGTAGCTTCACACTCCCATGGAACGCTGACGACATCATCTGCAAAGTATCAATAGGTCTTTAGTGTTTAAAGATGCTCTGTGTAACTTTTCTGGTGGAGGGTCCCCAACCTGCTTGTCTCCATGGAGTTATTATTGCCATGTCTGGAATATTCTATGGTAGAACATTAAACTTAACCATATCCAGAGACAAGCCGGTGTTAAAGCTCCATTAAAAAAGTTACACAGTCCAGCTTTAATTAAGGTTTGGGCAGCCAGTGAAATTCTGCGTTTGTGGAATAGTTGGCGAATTGGCCTCTTCACTAATATAAATGCTTAGGTTCATTTTTTAAAAAACTTTTTCTTGTGTATATTTCTTATGACGGTGCCATGTGATCAATACATGTGACGTCCATGGAGATGTTATTGCTTCGTTGGGAATGTCCCACGATATGGCATTAAATCTCATCAGACTTACAGGTATTTTTTTAAGCCAAAGAATACCCAAAAAGAACATACATTCGTACCACTAGCAGGCTTGCCTTTCCACAAATCTGACTTAACCATATTGTGATGCATTCCAGGAAGACTAGCAACATCTCCATGGAAACAAGCAGGTGGCAGACACTCTAACGGAAAAGTTACAGAATGCACCTTTAAACAACAGCAGCATAACACTTGTTCCAGTTTGTGTTTGTTTGAAAAGCTAAAAATGTGTAGCCTATTTCGCTGCTCAAAACCAAATAGCAAAGACAAAATTGCAGCAAAACAGTCAATACAAATTCAAATTTTAGTTATAAAATTTTTCAAGGGCCCAAATTAATCTGTTTTTGTTTTTGTATTAATGTTGTTTCCTCATCACAGACATACCTGGAGTGTTGTTTTGTTTCATTCACACAAACCCTGCATATTTAGGTTCTTCTTTCAAACTGAAAACACTCTGTTCCACCTTGTGATGTCATGTGGTAATACAGAAAGTGCATCACTGTGTTTTTAAACTCCATACACCTTCCCTAGATTCATTTGGATAATTTCAACCCTGGAATTGCCGATCTCTACTGAACAAAAGGTAAAAGGTAACAGTTAACTTGAAAACTACCACTTCATGACATCACAAGGTGGAACAGAGCATTTTGAGCTTTGTAGATGTAAACAGACTAATAATTAACTCAAACGTGTGAATGAAACAAAACACAAATCCAGGGATATTTTTTAGGAGGTAACGGCATTATAACATGTCTTAAAGGACTTTTAATTTCATAACAAGTTTTAATAATCTTGTAATTCTTTTTCTTCAGAATCACGATATTTCAAATTCAGCAACATATTGTCTTCGTAATTGTTGAAATCAGAGTTAACAAGACTAGAGTTGCTTAAATAATCCAGTTTAATTTTAGTTTTTTATCATTATATAATTTTTTCATGTTTACATGTAAATTATTTTAAGAGACGCACATTTCAACTTTTACCAAATAGATACAAAGTATATTAAGTTATTGTACAAATGAATGAATGCAATGTGGATTTTCATAGAACTGAGTGAGTCGAACAAACTTAACTCTGTAATAACCAAACCTGGACTTTTGTATTTAAAAGTGAGTTGATTTGCAGTGTTCTTATTACATTGATACTTTGCAATGGCATCACGCTGGGGGTCTTCTGCATGCATGTCTATGGTGGAATGTTCAGTAGTTACCGTAGTGACACAATGCAAGTCTGAAAACTGTAGAAAAAAATACAAAATGGATTGAAGCGACGCATTTTCAGGAGCCAGTGAATGTTGATGATCAGCTGCAAAGTATCAATAACATTTAACATTTTAAGTTTTTGTGTCATTTTGCTGTTAAAACATTTCCTGGTCTGTTTGTAAAATAAATGGAAGAGTTTTGAATGTTTTTAACGCTAGACTAATTTTATATTTTGCATTTTCTCTTAAAAGATGATGTAACGGTGACAGACGGAGACTCCAGACCTGTAACTCTTTGATAATGAGTTGAATGGATTCTTTGCTGATTATTTTCAAATAAAATGTGAAGTTTTACTCCTGTTCCCATTTACTTTGATTATAGCACATTTGATTATTAATGCATTTTCCAACACACATAGACTGATTGCAAAATATAAACTAAACTAAATTAGACAGTTTTTCACCAACTCTCATCTTTATAAATTCACTTTTTCATTTTCTAACCACTAGAGGTCTCTATTGTCCAATTTTTACTCTGAATGTCAGTCACTGTGAGCCTACAGTAAACTATTCTCTAGGCCAGGGGTGTCAAACTCATTTTGGTCCGGGGGCCGTATCCAACCTACTTTGATCCCAAAGGGGCCGGATCAGAAAACTCATGGCATATAAACCCCCAAAATAACAATAAGTTCAAATATTTGTGCAGAGAAACACAAATCTATTACAGAAATCTTTTTAAATTGATGAACTCTTTCTTTTACAAAATATTATGAACAACCTGAAACTTTAAGAAAAATGCAATTTCAACACAATATTTTAACATGAACTTGTATGTAAATAAGAATACGTCAGTTTTTCTTGTAAAATCCTGCACTCGGCTCCACTTTTCTCATTTTTGACATTTTTCTGATGAGGGTGTCACGGTCAACAGACAAAACGATCGTCCTTTAAGAGCGTTTGGAAAGAGACAAGTCTTCATTTGTGCTGCTCTGGTGGGAGGGGCCACGTACAGAGACGCTGGAGACACTGATATGCTCAGCACCGCAGAAAATTACCAATATTTTAATAGAAAATATAATAAAAATATTTTAGTAGAAAATCAGCCGAGGGCCAGATTAAAAGTCTTGGAGGGCCAGATCTGGCCCCCGGGCCGTATGTTTGACACCTGTGCTCTAGGCCTTTTTGCAGTGACATCACACTAGGGGAATTCTACATGCATCTCTACTGGTGGAATGTTCAGCAGTTACCATGGTGACACAATACACACGTTAACAAATACAGCCAAAAAAGTTTTAAAATAGTCTGGAAATCATTTGGATAATTTCATCCTTGGAGTTGTATGTCTCTACTAAATAAAAAGTAAAAGGAGCTGATAATTTGAAAACTATCACTTCATGACATCACAAGGTGGAACAGAATATTATGAGCACTGGAGATCTAAGGCAAGTTTATTTGTATAGCACAAGTTGTACACAAAGTAATTCAAAGTGCTTTACAAAATAAGGAATACATTAAAAGCACAATACAAACAAACTGAAACATAAATAATCATCATCAAATTAAAGAGACATTAAATGAGAGAGAAGAGTGCAGAATGAAAACCACAGCTAAACAGAACCATTTTGAGCCTGGATTTAAACAGAGTCAAAGTAGAGTCTGTCCCACATGTTCAGACTGTTCCAGGTTTTAGCTGCATGAATCTGAAACTCTGACCCCCCGTGTTTAGTCGTGACTCTGGGCACCAGCAGGAGGCCGGTCCCTGAGCTCCTCAGAGTGTGAGATGGTTCATATGACACTAACATGTCACAGATGGACTTTGGTGCTCGGCCATGGAGAGACTTGTAGAAGCAGAGCCGCTTTAAAGTCTATTCTCTGAGCCACAGGGGGCAGTCCAGAGACCTGAGCATATGCTTCTTGGTTCGAGTCAGAACCTGAGCTGCAGCATTTTGGATGGTCTGCAGCGTCTCACAGTTCGTTTGGAGAGGCCAGTGATCAGACCATTACAGTAGTTTAACCTACTGGAGACAAATGAGATAGGTCTCTCCAAGTCTGATTTAGACTGTATACCTTTGATTTATCATAGATGTAGACAGACTAATAATAACTCAAAGATGTGTGAATGAAACAAAACACAACTCCAAGTCTGTTTTTGAGGAGGTAACAACATGGTAACAGCTTACAACCTCCAGTTTGTGTAATCTGAACTTGTGTATTTGAACATGAGATCAGGTGAGAGTAAAACATGCGCGTGCTGTCAGGAGTTGTGCAACTGAAATCCCAAAAGTAAACTTATTCAACTGCACTGCTCTCGGCCTGTTACTCTGCACCTATAGAACTGGGTCAGGCCAAAATTATGTCATTCAATAAATCTAAAATGTAGGGACTTTTAAAACAACACTTCTGCATTACCATCTGATGACATCATAAAGAGGGTCAATCATCTGAAATATACATACAGGACCTTTAACTATTAGTGCCTTGGACCATTTGAACTTACACCAACGACTACCTAAGTAATGATGTGACTTTCTAAGTATCACCAGATCTAAACCAGGTCTTTTATTGATGCTTAGAAGCTGAGGTCATCAACATTCCCGAAGGTGTGAAGTTAACTGGAAGCACTGCTCTGTCTGAAGCTCTGTTACTCAAATTAGATTTAATCTGAGTTTTATTTTAATCATAGACTGTGTAAAGAAGTGGACTAAGTGAGTGTGACGTCACCCATAGTGTTCAGAGCCAATCAAATGAAGCTCGTCATGCTCATAATTACAGGAGCGAATCTGGAGCCAGGCTCTATGTTATAAACAGGATGTTTTTGATGGACAAAAGAGCGGAAAAAACACACTCCAAAAACTTAAACAGGCCCACCTATCTCGTTAGAAATGTTGAAATGTTAAGACATGTTTTTTTTACAATTTGTAATCTTTTTGTAATCATTTTATTGACTATTTTGTTCCAATATTTCTGGTTCAGTTGAATGTTGGAAAAAAAAGAGGGGGGGCTATATTTAATGTCCAAATACGCGACTTATGGATCCTTTAATTGCTGCTTCAATTACAGTTTTTCATTGTTTAAAACTTGAGTAATACTAATTGAACAGAGAAACGATCACTCAGTCAGTAATAAAATATCCTCATTAATGTTCAAAAATGGTCAAATCCACATTTGTTTTGTGATTTACGCATACTTTCTATTGACTTTGGTCGCGAAAGTTTGTTACTCTTAAAATATGGGTCCCCAGAAAAAAAGTTTGGGAAACACTGGCGTATCAGATATGGTGTTTAAACTTAACCTTTAAATGATCATCTTATAGGATTGTGTTGTAGATATTATGAGCAGATGAAGGTGGTAGTTAGAGGCCCTTTAAAGGTGATGCCCATCATGTGTTCAATTGTCACCTGTGACTTCAGTAAATATTGGGACTAGGTTAAACTCAAAGCTTTAAATTGTCGTGTAAGAAGTTAACATCTGTTTGTGCTCTAATCCACCTTTAAAATCACAGGAGTACACTGTGTTTCTTACAAGTCCATAAAGCAGTGTCCTGAACCTTTTCTAATCCGTGTTTTTATGTGAACCACCTCCGTGAAATCCCCCGGCTCTCAGACTCTTATCAGTACCGTGTTAAAGCTGACCTTTACTTCTCCTTAACTTTGAAAACACACTTCCTGTCTCTCTTAGGTCTACTTCCTGTTTACGATTGAGTGTGATGAAAGGCTAGAGCTTCACGGGGTTTAGTGAGGAGTTATAGTAAAAAGTGCTTTGAAAATGTGGTCAAGCTAAGCAGGGTCGGGCCTGGTCAGAACTTGGACAGGAGACCGCTGGGAAGATCAGGTGTCACAAGGGTCCTCAAGCAAGACACTTGACCATAAAGTGGACTAAGTGAGTGTGATGTCATAGTGCCCATAGCGTCCGGCTCCAGTCAAATGAAGCTCATGCGGTTTGCAGTTATAGGAGTGAATTTGGAGTCAGGCTCTATATTAGGAATTGATTTACGAACAAAACAGTAAAATAAAAACACCAGGATCATGTTGAACGGGTAAATATGAACATTATAATGAGAGAGGGGTGTTCCTTCAATACAAACTGGATTGGAACCACAGTTGATGGAGCCAGTGTTCCATGGAAATGGGCTGCCACATCGAAATGAGCTCCCAGCAGCCTAAATCGACAGAGACATCCATCGATTCACGCTGCCCCGTCGAAATAAGCTGCCTTACATTTTTCGGTTTACAGCTATATAGATCCAATAAAGCAAACCTCTCCAATTTTACAGAATATTTCTTTGGATTAAAGACAGCGAGTTTTATGCTGTTTTATACAGTGATTATATTTTTTTAGCCTGATTCATCAGCCGGTTTCACTTTGTGGAAACTGTCTGACCACCTGGCATTAGGATTCGTTCGCTCGACAGTAGGCGGGTAGTTTTTTTATTTAACCAATCGCTGCTATTTGGTTGTGATGTATGTAATGCTCCAAATCCTGTAAGAAGAAGGGCAATAACGTCTTTCCCCTTGATAAAAGTCACCAGACATTCTCTTTGTTCCTCGATCTTGGGAATCGTTGCCAACACAGAACATCTGCTTTCGTCTACATACATCTCGACTGCTTTGTTTACTTTTCTTTACTGTTGTGCTGTATCACAAAAGGGACCCAGACAGATGGTTGAGTTTGACGTCATGGCTTCACAGCTCTTCTGTGATTGGCCGGTGAGTGGTCTACAACTTCCAGGGCTCTTGCAAACCATCTAGTGTATTCTGATTCCTGACATAGTCTCTTTAGAGAAATGAAAATGAGCAGAGCCTGGCTAATACTTTATTCCTTAGTTATGTCAAATTTCAACAAATTTATATGAATAAGTGTAGATAGTTCATTTTGACAGTGGTATTCTGCTCAAATAGGGCTCTAAATAAAAGGAGCACATATCGACAAGCCAAATGAGCCATCGAATAATGCTCCCACTGTAGAATCACCATTATTCACTCATGTACATGAATTTGGATGGAGGTAGCAAATCTTGACTATACAGACACCCAAATAATGCACCACTAGAGGGAGCTTTGTGATACTGGGGACATTGACGATGGGACATTTCCATGCAATTAAATTTTATTTATACAGCGCCAATAACAATGGACTTGTCTCTTAGTCATGGTGGATGAGAACAGAAAGCAGGACAACAGAAGAAATATTATAACAAACACTTATTTCAAAAATACTGTATATACAAATGATCCAGGGAAGGGAAATTTATCCCATCTGTGCCTCAGGAGCTCAAATAGATGGCCATTTAAACTGTGACAGTGCTTGGAGGCATACACATGTGCAGTAGGGCTAGGTAGCTCAAACTGACAGGA